GTTAGTACGTATAGATTTCAATAGGTGGGGCACAGAATGTTTTAAATAAATTGACTTAATTTTTGCGATCATGTTATAAACGCCATATCACTGAATATATAGAGACTAACGTAATTCTGTTCTACTATCCACCCATTAAATATCCCATTTGCAGGCCCAAAAATGAAAAGGCTAATTCTATCAGCATTTGAAAGGCGATACTAATTTAGAACTTTCTTCAAAACAAAAGGGCTTGAAAATAGCTTTTAATGGGAAAATAACGACCGTTAGTTGTGGAATCGACTTGCAGCCACCTAAGTATTAGTCTGATCTTTAGACCTTTTTACCAAATGGTCGTACGATTCAATCAGTTTAATTTGGGCCATATTGTGTGACATTGAAATGCTCTTGTACCTGTTACAGCTCATTTTATGTAAACTATGTTATTACCAAAAGACAAACAAATGTCAGTCAGTCACTCCATGTGTCTGACAATGAAGTCTAGAGGGTAAACGGGTTTCCTTGCATAATTTGAATACTTAGGACACTGCTAATGCTTAAATTTCACAGATAGGACATAGATGACATATTCACAATTCCTGCAAAGTTCTACAGAATTAGATATTGGCTGCAAAAGAGACATAGTACCTTAAAAGAGTCTCAGCCACAGACTAGAAATAAAAACAATCATTCAAGTCAGCTTCTTCATACACTGAGCCGACAATTGTTTTGATCCCTAATCACAAATTAAATGGTTTTATCGTAATTGCATTACACAAGTAAAAACAAAACGTAACCAAGCACTCAGTAATGCTCCAGTAGGCCAACCACTGTATAGTTATTATTTTTTTTGTTTGTTCATTATACGAGATAATTAATTGGACTTTCATAAGCATCGGTTAAGGCATGTAATATACCTAGATATTGGATCACTTGTTAAATAGTGACGTTGATACGTAGTGACATAATATGCTAAGTATTTATATTACGTGGAGAGGGGCAGAGGCGGAAAATTAGAATTTTCGAAGGAGATGGAGGGGGTGGATCAATTTGATATCGCCAGGTTTGGACCTATCATTTTTAAGGTAGAATTTACTTTATTTGGAATTTTTAGAATTCGACCAGTTAAAGGAGTCATCATTTTCACATTTTCCTACCGAAGAGAAAGGGGACTTTGGTCATGCAGGGGCGGTCTATAGGACTATACTGAACTTTGACCTTTCCGTGTGGCCGGCCCCTCTAACTTTTTGGTACCTTTCATAAGCCCCCCCCCCCCAATTTCCGGTCATCACTCAGTCATTTTTGTTTGGAGAGGAAAGGGGCGGGATTTTTAAAGCCCAGTTCGAAATTTTCCATTGAAACACGATTCTCACCCGTCCTGGAGAGTTTAAGAACAAAAGGCAGGGGTTTGTGCATGTATTTCTCGATTAGTTGTCTTTCTATATAATTTATTATTAATTTTTTTTCGGGGAGGGGGGGGGGGATGGGGGTGCACAGCAACAGAAGCTATTTATATGTACATCCTACATTTAGATTTTACATATCTTAAAGATACTCATATTCTCTCTTTTGCTTTATCTTCTCCCATTTTTGTCTTTGTTCCTTTCACCGCATTTACTTTCTTCTTTCTCTTTTTTTTGAGGGGGAGGGGTAGGGGCAGCAGCCATTCCATAGTGGTAGAGAGGAAGTGAGAGATAGTTCAAGGGGAAATATGAAAAAAGAGAGATGGTACGAGAGAGAGAGAGAGAGAGAGAGAGAGAGAGAGAGAGGAGAGAAAGGGGATTAAAAGAAAAGAAATGGCAGTTATGAAAGAGAGTGAGGGGGGGGGGAGCATAAGTAAAAACATGTTCAAGAGAATGTAGGATAGAAAGAAAACCTGAGAAGCATGCAAAGTGTTCTCTTTGTTCCTTCCACTGCATTTTGCTTTCTTCCCTTTAACTTCTTCTCTCTTTTTTCTATTCACTGGGCCGGGCAGCAGCCATTTCATAGGGGTACGGGGGAAATATGAGGAAAGGAGATTGCAGGAGAGAGAGATGAGAGAAAGGGGAAATACAAGAAAAGGAAAGAAAGGGTAGAAATGAAAGATAGTGAGAGAGAGAGAGAGAGAGAGAGAGAGAGGAGAGAGAGAGAGAGGTGGTGAGAGATAAGTAAACATAAGAGAAGGTAGGACAGAATGAAAACCTGAGTATGCAAAAGAGGTAGAGTCAGACAAGAGAGTCAGAAGATGTGGAAAATTTTAAAGTACACTTCTAATTAAAGAAATAAAGAGACATTAACTATTTTCATGGGTGTATCCTGTATTTTATTACTCTACAAGATTCTGTCCAAATCTCGCCTTTTCTAAAATACCTCAGCTGGAAACTGAGAGATCACCCCTAATAATTTCTTAAAACAAATACATAGAATGTCTCTTTGTAGCCAGGTGGGCGTTAACTTGTATACTTTAACACAAAGTCGACGCCCTTCCAGCTCTCAATAGACGATAATAATCAATTAATTATATCAATCATTATCATTGACCGATGCCAGACATCATGACATGGTTTATTCAACAAAGAACTGTACAAATACCTAAATATCTAATTCTACAAGTGAACACAAGTTTATAAAGCAGAAAAAGAAGCGTCTGGTAAAAAAAGGTGCATATTTAAAAAGATATATCTCAATGCTTTGTAATGTAGTGTCTGTTAGTTTGGAAAGGCACTGAGAGACGCATAAACCAAAGCGTACTAGAAAGTATACAATATTGTTTAATCCTTACATAATAACAATTGGAATCTATCTTTGATCGACTGCCCAATAATCACTATTACAGTCAGAGTATTCATGAGCTCAAACTTGATATAAACATACATAAACATGTATTTCGATAATTCTAGCAACAAAAAAGGAAAGATATTTTTTCTTCACCCCTGTGGATACAAAATCAATGTTTTTATATTTATATTGTCTACCATAAGAGACAGAGCGTCAATCAAGTCCTTATGGAGGAAGTACAATCTTGGGGGGGGGGGGGGGGGTGGAAAGGGTCATCTAACTTTGTTTGGGGTTAAAGACATAGAATCCTTTTACACTGAATACACATCTAAAAATATTAACCCCCTAGATTTAAAAAATACTAGCTACAAATTTTACATTGTTGAAATTTTAAAGCCTAATTCATTAACATTTTTTAAAACATCTTTAACTTGCATGCTTTAAATACATGTATATCCGCACTTTTGACGTAGGGAAATTTGCCTTTTAGATATAGACCAACACTGTACATGAATTGGTCAAATTTGTCTTGTAACAAACAAAATTTGAATCCACACATGCTTTACACATACCTGTATCTGCACTTGGTAAAAATTTGCCTTTTCAGATATATTATGCTTACATGAATTGGTCACTTTATCCTGTAACTAACTACATTTGAATCCACACAACCACACAAGTATACATACAAGTTTCTTATATACAATAGAGCTTTACAATATGTACATTCATTCATAGCTAAACGAGAGATAGCATACAGATTGCGCATAGTAATAGGTAAAAACGATGAAGTACTGGGCGTATGCTTTTTCAATACACCTTGTGCAGAGTATAATAAATACACCAGATTTGATCCACTATCTACTAAATTCAATTCTTGAAAAGGATTTCGTTTTAATTATGGTTTGTAATGAGTAACTTTGTCTCAATTATTTAAAAATCCAGAACTTCTATGAACCAGTCAACCTTCAGATAATTTGCATATCACAAGATTTGCATTAGGCATACCCTCAGAATTTTAGAACTGTATAAGCTTACTGACTAAGGGTTATGTATAAGCTCATGCTGTAGTTATCTCCGATATTGGGATTGCAATTTAAAGGAATAGTATTTTATCGCCATCGTTACCACAGTCACAATGTATTTTCAAATGCGCCATGCGTCATCTTAAGATAGAGGCGTACATATAACAATTTCCGGTTCCTGCACCCAAGCATCATCACACATGCATCATGCACTTGGTGATGCATTGTGGGACTTGGTTGTGTACACATTGGGACATTGTGAGCAGCAGATGGCAGTATACAAGAATCTGAAGTGGTGTCAGTAGGATATCTTGCACTTAACAATAAGTGAAAGTGAGCAGCCAATGCATATGAGAACATGAAGCCTGTATAAACATGGAGTCTGACTTAATTATCACGAAACACAACTCATGAAATCGTCCAGGTCTCTGTGATTTGAAGAAAAAAAAATACCGGGGGGCATTTCACAAAGCCTTTTTTCAATGACAAATTACACAAATCAGTGACAAATCTGCTGATAACCAATCAGAAGCAAGGATTTCAGTAGCTCATAAAACAAACTGTCATTTGTCACTGATGACAAGCTTGTGAAACGCACCCATGGTACGTCAATTTATCTGGTTATACAGTATACTTGCAATTACTGTTGAAGTTGATTTGATGCTGAAATATTCCTTGTTAGAAAATAAAAAGACTACTGACTGTTTTGGTCATCATAGAGTGAATATCTGATGAGCTCTTACATTAACTAATCATTCTTCTCCTAAATATTCAAAAATATATTTAAAAAAAAGAAATAATATTCCTGTTTCACTAAGTCAATGCCAAACATGAATACAAAAATTCAACAGCCCTCAAACATCCTTCAAGATTAAATTTCTCAAGGACACCCCTCAACAGGTACAAAAGATTGTCAAGACTCAAGACATCCAGGGGATCAGAAACAACTGCCATACGTTGGGGTTGTGCTTATCCCAATGGACGACTGCATATCAGAAATGATAAGAATACTATGTATGTACAACTGATTATTAATCAGTGACAAATCTGCTGATAACCAATCAGAAGCAAGGATTTCAGCAGCTTATAAAAAAAAACTGTCAAGTTTTGTGAAATGGGGCCCAGGTCGAGGATTCATAAAAAAGCTCACTCGCAAGAGGGTTAGGGGTTCATCCAAAAGGCGCCATCAGATAAGACACGAAAAAACGATGCAAAATAGCCGCCATGAGCTTTTTTAACGTGCGAATTGAACGGCAACTGCGTGCAACAAAGGACTAATGTGTATTCACGAGCTCTGTGTTATACGATAGAGAAATGCGAAGCATATTACACTTTAAGTCATCATCATAAAAAACTTTGCGGTCTTGCCGCTTTATTTCTGAACGACGGTCAAAGTCACCAGCCTCAGGGTCGAGGAGTTCATCCATAACTAGCTAGGCGGTTCATTAAAAAAAAGATTGCCAATTTCAGGGCCGTCCTCATCATCATCATCTGAGATGGTGCAGGTTGATCGGGGAATTCCAGACGGCCGAGCTCGTACGTTTGGTGAAGCGCGCCCTCTTCTTGATGAACATGACGCTAAGGTCGGGAGGGTCGACCTCGGGAAAGAGTCTCTGGAAGTCGGGCGGATGGTAGTGCTGGTTGATGAGTGCGGTCTTCAGAGCACCACCTGAAAATGGCAGACCACAGAAAATGCAACCATAATTAAAGGCATTGTTTAACAATGTTAAATCTGAGATGCACAGCCCTACATGTTATCAGTGTCTGTGATACGGTGTAATATTGAAGCCCTAAAAAAAAATAATCGCGCTTCAAAATGATCATGAAGTGCATCAAAAAAGTGAAAATCTTTGAGTGACTATACTCATTTTCCCCAATAGCCTGTAGTGTTATGAAAACCGTTAAGAAAACGCAAAATTTGATTTCGATTTTCAATCATGAATATCTTGATAATCAGACAGGCTTGTAAAAGTCATGGTGTTCCTGACTGACCTAAAGGTTTATAATTATCATTGCAGCATGCAGCAGTTTCAGAATCCGATACCAAGTTACCGGAGCCCATTAACATTTCAGTATCACAGTCAAATTTGTATTCAAACTAATACAACACACAATTTAAAATGTAGGTTTAATAAGTTCTGATTTTAAAGAATGAAAGAGGTTCAGTAAAATTAGTGTATAATTTAAAATTTGTTACACCAAGGACAGCCTGTTGGAAAAAGAAAACTACAGTTACTAACTAAATTATTCATACCCTTGTAAATTTGATGTATTTTGTGTGTCTTTAATTTTTTAAGAATGAAGGGTGGGCTGGTTGAATTAGGGATGTTGTTGAATTATACTATTAGATGTAAGCTTGAATATGCCAAATTCTCAAGAAACATAATCGGGACAAATCAATTTTTCACATATTTACAAAATTACAAAACTTGGTAAGGTATAAATAATTAAGTTAAAGGGAAAGTCCAACCTGATATTAAGTTGGTTTTAATAGAAGCAGGAAAATAAGAGAAACAGGTCAGTGAAAGTTTGAGCAAAAAAAGATTGAAAAATAAGAAAGTTATGAATATTGAAGGTGCAATCAATCAAACGCAAATTGGCAACTTTGTGACATATTTTGCTCTCTTCCCATTTGCCCTGAACAATTAAAAAAAAAAATCTTCCCTTAGGAAAATGTTAAATCATATATTCACCTTAAATATAATTATTTAAAACATGTTTTTATACAACCCCCGTGTGAGATAAATCTATTCTATCCTCAATAAGTAAGAAAATGAAAGTTTATGAATTTGTTTGTAAAGTGCAGATAAGTCACAATGCTGCAAATTTGTGTTTCACTGATGACAACTCCAAAAATTCATAACTTTTCTACTTTGAATCGGATATTTCACTTATCTGTTTCTCTCATTTATCTGCTTTTATTAAAACTGACTTAATATCAGGGTGCTCTTGCCCTTTAACTGTATATGTAGAATGCACCCCTTCTCCCCTTGTAGAAAAAGGTATAGAATGAAAAAAGCTTTGTGAGTTTAGAATGCCTGAGCTTACCCTGGGCCCAGTTTGGTATCTTTTTCCTTGGGGCTTCTTCATCATCGCTACTGTCTTCACTGTGGAGATCATCAATACCGTAGTTCTCAGCGGAGGCTGCGACATGGATCCTGATATTATAAGAGAGAGAGAGAGAGAGAGAGGAACACAAAATGTAAATGAGCAAAAGATTATATTTCTTGACACACAAAAAAACTGAATATCATGAAAAATCAGATTTTCACAAAAACTTGACACTACCACTGGCCTGTTGGGCCTGGGAAAGTAAAATGTCAGAAAAATGTTTTACTGGTAAGAACGGGCAAGTAAATGGTTGAAAATCACAAAAACTGTAATTAATACTGTTTCAGAGACATGCAATGATGCCAATGAATTGACATCTGGAAGTCAACGAGTTGGTCTCAATTAAATCGATTTCTCAAAATCTTGATGCCTAAAAACTTTTTTTCTAGAGAGATCCAACTCAGAAAGCCCTTTCCATCCATTAAATACAAAAAAGAAGAGCAAAGCGGAATAGTAAAGAGAGAGAGAGAGAGAGAGAGAGAGAGAGAGAGACTTATCATACCTCTGTGGTGTAAGATCATATGACTGCGGCGAGCTCTCCACCTTGTCCTTGTTGAAGGTAGAGTTGTGTGTTACGCTGGTGTTGTGCTGCTGGTTGAGGGAGGTGTTCTGTTTCAGGATGTTTGCCTTGAGTCTTTCGTGCTCCTGTTGTTTGGCTTTCTCCTTCTCCATTATACCCTTGATGTGAGTCTCCTCCTGCAAATACAAAAAAGGATGAAATAATAATAATAATAATAATGATACTTAGTTTTTATAGAGCGCTTATTAGAATCACTAAGCGCTTCCAAACTTGGAGATTATCACCTCAGCTTTAAAACTGTGCTGCAATTGCGGCGCTCTATCATTTCAAAGAATTAACTCCTGCCAGGTACTCATTTACATCACCTGATTTGAGTGTGGCAAATGTGTGTAGATCAATGTCTTGCCAATAGACATTAGTGCCGCGGCGGGTCTCGAACCGCGGACCTTGTGATCGACAGTCCGGCGACTTAACCCCTCGACCACGGCACCTCTACATATGAATATGAAATGAATAACAATTTTCACTCAAGGTGGGACTGCACTACTTGTAGCTACTTGCGCCCTCTATATAGCAATCAATGCCGAAGCGGTACCTGTTGGTTCCCCATGACTCCCTTTTTCATATGTTAATTGAGAGCTGAATTGAGACCTGTCAGTGACCTTGCAGGAAGGTCTAATCCCTCCTGCCCAAACTAGTGGCGATATGCTTTAAAGATACTATGTCCCTTTTGCAGCCGACATCAAATTCTGCAGAACTTTGAAGGAATTATGAATATCTCACGTATATGTCCTATCTGTGAAATATAAACGTTAGCAGTGCCCTAGTATTCAAATTATGCAAGGAACCCTGTTTACTTTCTAGACTTCAATGTCAGACACTATCGAGTGAATGACTAACTTCATTTTTTTCTTCCACAGGTAGAAAATATTTTATACTTCATTCTGGAAAGTAAAAACCAGTACAAGTGTAAAACCTATGAGCTCTGTGTGTATAAGCTAAAGTCCATATACACTAGGTCTCAAAGCAAAGTGTCGATATTGCTTTGCGAGAAACCATTGAGATTGAAGGGTGCTGGCATAGGGGAGTGTAAAGATCTAGATCTAGCCACAAATTTAACAATTTTACAAATTCTAAACTGTCCCAGTTTTATTTCTGACAATACACTTTGTCCATGTATCAAAACTGAAACAGAATGAATTTACCGTGGTATGAATTATTGACATTGCGCTCCACTAACCTCTTTTCTTTGTTTTTCCCTGAGCGCTCTCTCTGCAGCTATCTTGCGTTGTCTCTCCGCCTCCTCTTTGGCTTTCCTCTCCCTCTCTCTCTGCTCGGCTTCCTGCTGTCTCCTTCTGTCTTGCTCCTTACGCTCTCTCTCCCTGCGGAGGTCAAAGTTCATATAATTCACGAAGGATTCTAACATTGTAACATGTCAGAGAGTATATCAGATTGTAACATTTCAGATAAAAGTGTTGACTACAAAAAAAGGAAACATTACAGAACAGTAGCAGCAACTAAATTTTAAAATATAAAGTTCAATAATCTGCTAACAATTGAAATTTGACCCTTGATATACACACAGACAACAACAAAGCACAAAATGTCCATGATTTGTATCTATCAGAGCAAGGCTCCATCATTGTTGAGGGTATAAAAAAAAAGGATTACTACGCAGTGCTGCATCTAAAAATAAATCAAGATCTTCATGTGACACACTATGCTTTTCTCATCTCACTTTGCCATGTTTTCTGAAGTAGTTTAAAGGCCCACTGTACTAGTTGTAGCTACTTGCTCCCTCTATATAGAAAACAATGCCTAATCGGTGACCATTGGTCCCCCATGATCCTCTTTTTCTTATGTTAGTTGAGAGCTGAGTTGATGAGATAGCCACCTGTCAGTGACCACGCTGTGTGGTTTAATACCTCCTAGCCAAACTAAACTAGTACAGCCGGCCTTTAACACTTTATGTGAGAAAATGCTTGATTCTGACTTTTCCAAATCATGAAACTTGCCTTGGTTTCTCAAACTTAGCGAAAAATATGCAGGGATTTACGTAAGTGCACATAAAATATTTCATCACTTGAAATCTTTCACCCTGATTTTTTTCAGGTCTAATTTTTTGGAGTGAACTAAAACACAGGGGTAAAAGTGAGCACTAAAAAAAAAAAAAAAAAAAAATAAAAAAATGGGATATTGCCTTAAATCCATTTTCGGTTTAACTTAATAAAATTTGGAGTGGACTTTAAAACATTATTATTATTATTATTATCAGGCATGTAAAACGAGATTCTAACCTCTCTTCTTTGAGTTTCTGCTGCTCTTTCTCCCTGATCAGGGTTTGTTCCTTCTTCTTCATGATTTCCTCCAGCCTGAGTCTCTCCTGCTTGAGACGCAGCTGCTCGGCCTGCTGCCTCTGCTCCTCGGCCCGGCGCTGCCTCTCCTGCTCCTCGTGCTCTCGCCTCCGGTCCATCAGGTGCTGGTGACGACGCTTCTCCTCCTCCTGTGTTTACGGGAGAGAAGGGAGGAGATGGTGGTTAATGGGGTGAGACATGGGGAGATGTAAGACATAGACAGATAGAAAGATAGAGTGAGAGAGAGAGAAAAAAGATATAAAGAATAGAGTGAGAAAGAGAGAGAGAGAGAGAGAAGAGATATACAGATAGTGAGAGAGAGAGAGAGAGAGAGAGAAAAAAAAGATATATAAAGATAGAGTGACAGAGAGAGATATCAAGATAGAGTAAAAGAGAGAGAGAGAGAGAGAGAGAGAGAGAAAAGAGATATAAAGATATAGTGAAAGAGAGAGAGAGAAAGAGAGAGAGAAAGAAAAAAGATAGACAGAATGAAAGATACAGAGGAAGAGGAAGACAGAAGGGGGGTAGAGAAAGAGAGAGAGAAAGAGACAGACTGAAAGTTATAGAGGGAGAGGATAGGAAGGGCTAGAGAGAGAGAGAGAGAGAGAGAGAATAAAAGATATAGAGGGAGAGAAAGACAGAAAGGGGGGGGGGGAAGAAAGAAGGGAAGGATGGAAATATCAAATACTATGAGATAAAAGTCTGCAATGCTTCCTTGTAGGTGCTTTGCGATGCTTTCTGCCCTGATTGTCTCACTTCAAGTTCAACCAACATGCATTCAAGCAACAATGAGGGTACTGTTTCTATTTCATGCCAGCATGGACTAATGGAGCATGAAAAAGAAATGACATTAGGGGAAAAAGCAAGCTTTGAAAATGAATCAAAATGATATGTCACAAAGGAAGCTCAAATGGTATGCATGATTGAGTAATTCCAGCACTGGATGACTATCAAGGTTATGATTCAAATGGACTACTTGTTCCAAAATTGGACAATTTGTGTTGTTTTTGCTTTGTCCTGGTCCTGAATTGCTCATTTCTCTTCACCTGTTCTTTAATTTTCCTCAGCTTGGACTCCATCTCTTGCTTCCTCCTCTCCTCCGCTTCGGCCTTCTTCTTCTCGTATATCTTCCCTCTCTGCTCTTCATCCTTCTTCCTCTCTTCCTTCTGTTTTTCTGTCAGGGTCTGTTGTAACGAGGGAAATGCATTGGGATTTTTAAACACTATACTCAAAGGATACTTCAACACTTTGTCTCTGTACATGTATAGTGAAGTATTATCATACTGCATCAGCAATGGAGCCACCAACGACATACATCTAGGTTTAAAGATGATTGCAGCATCATAAGAATTACCAATACCAAATAAGTGATTTTTCCACTGATTGTAAAGGAAACAGAGTGTTTAAAAAGGGGAGTAACGTGTAACAGCAACAGCTTTGAATTTTTATTTTACAGGTTTGAAAATCTGCATGAGGTTAATTTTCATTCTCAACCTAAATTATATATGAAATATTAGTCATAACATGTACATGTATTTGAAAATGCTTTTTAAAATCATATTGCATCTGAATTCCAGGGCACTGTTGCATAAAACCTACCATTGATGGTAACTTTGCCATCAATCGCAACTACCATGGTAACAGGGCTCAACAGCCAATCAAAATCAAGGTTTCCATGGTAGTTACCATCGATGGCAACGGGGCTCAAATATATGAATCATGATTTGGGAGTGATTGGAGCAGGAGAAGAAGAGGATTTTTTTTTAATTGCTGGTTTGTAGGTGTGAATGAGAAAGCAAATATAAAGAGGGGGGTAAGAAAAAGAGCAATGGATCTGATGCATTCGATGATTAAAAGCTGTTTGACCTAAATTGCAAAGAGCAAAATATATGAATGATATGAATGTTATGAACGGATAGCTAATGTGCTGTTAGAAACATTGCATCACTATTTCATTTTCAGTATTTTGAAGTTAAATTCATCATGTAGAACTGTTCTTTTATAACACCTTAAACCATTTGCAATGGTTTTCAACATAGTTGTCTAGGAGGGCATTGACAAAGGTTGTGAGGAATATATGTCAAGATAAACTTTAGTTCTGGGCATGAGATTGCACGGTAAAAGAAACTGCGTGGAAGTGATTAGAAAATATTGATCGTGCAGCAGATAAATATTGGCATAAAGATATACTGTGAGGTTTCAGAATCATTAAGTTGGCCCAGTTATGCACTATACACAGAAATGTGTAAATGGGATAACACAAACATGTGGCAAGACAGTGAGGTCCACAACCTTGAACTGTATACTTGTGATATTTGAAGTATGAGGGCATTTGAGCTTTAGAAGAGTCATCCTTTGAAAGGGACAACTTTTTTATGATACTCTCCACACTAACATAAAGAAAATGAAGGAGGGGCAATGGCTCAGTGGTAGAGCAGTGGTCTCGTAACCAAGTCTCAGGTTCGTACCCAAGTTGATGCCTCATTACCTCATTACCATTCCTCATTACCAGGTCCCTTGGAGAGGTATTAAAACCATCTGTCCCCTGGACGCTTTATAGTAACAGCATACAAAGGCTTTATTAGCAGTCAGGTTTAACTAACTAACATTTCTCCTCGAGGGGTGGTAAAAGTCCTAGAATAAAAGTGTTGATGGTTTTGCTAACCTGTTTATGTTCCTCACGTTCCTGCATCTTTTGGTTCCTCTCCTTCTTCTCCTCCTCTTGTAGAGCCCTGGTCTCTTTAGCCCTTCTCATCCTATCCTCTCGCGTTCTATCAACAAAAAAAACAAAAAACAAAAAAAATTAGCAATATAAACATAAAATGTTCCTGCTCACCGATCGTTCACTTCATAATCTTGCCTCTCTCTTTCATCCCTCTTCATTTACACCTTAAAAAACTGGCATTTTTTTTGCACCGGTTTACACTTTACAGCGCCATATTCTGAACAAGCTGTAGGTCTGTAACACTCTCTCTCTCTCTCTCACTACTTCTTTGCAATTGTTCTGCATCAGCATATCATCTGTACAGTAGAGGTGTCGTGGTCAAGTGGATACGTCGTCGGACTGTCGATCACAAGGTCCGCGGTTCGAGTCCCGCCGCGGCACTAATGTCCTTTGGCAAGACATTGATCTACAATCGCCACACTCAACCCAGGTGATGTGAATGGGTACCTGGCAGGAATTAATTCCTTGAAATGCTGGAGCGCTGAAATGGCAGCTAGGCTAAAGCCGGGGTAATAATAAATGTGCCTTGGAATAGAATTTCTAGATAGACGGAGCTATAGAAATGCCTATTATTATTATTATTACAAATAACTGTGTGCATGTATTAATGGCACAAACTCCTCACAAGGTGTCAAGCTGCTGCTAATCTTGAAGCTCAAGTCGAGTTTTGTTTATTGTTTTTTAAAACAAGAAAACTGCCAAAATGCTGGGACTAGTTTGTGGTAAACACAGAGATGCCAACCTCTTGACACACACAAAAAAGGAGTATCCTAAAAAAAAATAATCTTATTATCGTACTAAATACGATTTAATCGTACTGGTTGGCATCTCTGTAAACATGGCAATTTGTTAAAAATAATATTACCTCTTTTGATCTTGCAATTGCTTCCGTCTATCTTCAATCATCTTCCTCTTGATATTCTCCTCCTTCTTCTGTTTCTCCAGTAACAGTGCTTTTCTTTCTTGTTGTTGCTCCTAATATCAGATGAAATAAATTCATATACAGTCAAACCTGCTTTAGTGACCACCTGTCTACAAAGACCACCTGTCTACAAAGGCCACATTTGTTGGTACCCTTGAAAATGGATTCTCATTGAATCATGTAATAAAGGTACCTCTCTACAAAGACCACCTGTCTACAAAGGCCACTTTTTGTGTTTCCCTTGGGTGGCCGCTATAGACAGGTTTGACTGTAGTTCCATCAGGCCTTCCTCTTTATTTTACACTTGTAACTTGTACGATTGAACAGAATGATCTTTACACTAAAACTAATTCAACTTTTACAAGGCACCTTACCTTTAGGATATGGAACTGAATAGATAAATACCCTGGGTGTACCTAAGCTCCTATAAGGCGGTTCTAGGACACCTACCCCCCTGATAACCATCCCCAGTCAACTAACCCCCGGACAACTACACCCTAGGACTACTACCCCGTGAACATCTATCCTAGGGGGTAGTCATCCTAGAGGGTGGTTGTCCTAGGGGGTAATTGACTGGGGGTGGTTATCAGGGGGGTGGGTGTCCGGGGGGTAGGTGTCTGGATACGCCATAAGGCACTCATGGAATATCTTTTCTACTGGGTGACCCATTTAGTTCACCTGGGTAGAGGGTGGCACTGGCAAGGGAATAAACCTAGCACAGTCTCAGAGAAATACAAATAAAAACAGACATAAATAAAGTATGCAAGGAGGCGGAACAGAGAGAGAGAGGGGGAGAGGAAGGGATAGAAGGGGGGGGGGAACAAGGGAAAGAGAGAGAGAGAGGGGGAGAAAAAGACAGGCAGAGAGTAAGAGAGAGAGACAGACAGAGTAAGAGGTGGAGAGAGAGAGAGAGTAAGCGAAAGATGGAGAGACAGGGAGTAAGAAAGAGACAGAGAGATTGAGAGCGAAGAGAGAGAGAGAGAGAGAGGGGGGGGGGGGGGGGGGGAGGGGGGAAGAGGGAGGGGGTTCATGAAGCAAAAGAACAAAAGTCTACATACCTTGAAGGTTCTCTTTTGTGGTGTATTCCTCTGTATGAAAGACGTAACAACGCTCCCGGACTGAGGTGTACCCGGACAGACTAGCTTCTTCTTCTTGTTGGCATTCAGTACGTTTAAGAATGATTTGGGATGAGGACGAATCACCTTGGGAGGAGATAGAGAGCAAAAGATAAATAGGCAATAATTAGTTTCAGAAATCTGAACATTAACGAGGAAAACATCAAATTTTACCACAAAGAAACAAACACACTTTTACATTATAATGCCTGTACACCTTAATTTATTCTGAATATACATGAAATTTGTCAACAAAAAGATAAAGAAGAGGATATTTTTTACGCTGCTCCCAATATAATGTTGCCGCTTTTTATTATGCCGGTTGCAATAGAAGCCTTGCTAACATGCAAGCTCCTGATGATGGTCATAATTGCCCGAAAATTTGAGACCTCGCAAACACGACTCTTATCAGAGTTTTTCGTTAGTACTACAGTATATTATTATTATTATTATTTTTTTATAACTTATTTGGGACTTTCAAAAGAAACAAAATCAGGAAACAATATACATGTACAACGTGCACAGGACATATAGTGAATGAATACAATAATTTGACACTTGCACACCCGACCTATTTCGTAGTTCCATTTGTAGTAATGGACTTGTTAAAATAATTACTCATTATTCTTAAGTACCATTTGAGGTGTTCACACTGGTACAAGCTTTGCTTTTTAGTGGACCTCTCTGTTTCCAATATATTTATTTCTACATTTGTTGCAAATGTTCATAACTGATTTGTAATATTTTGTTGGAAACACAAATATTTTGAATTGAATTGAATTCAGTGAAACTTACCTTAGATGGAGGGCATTCTGGTGAAGGAGTCTTGTCGATGATATCATCCGACTCACAGCCAGAGGAACCGTAGCTAGACGAACTGGACCTGAATATTCAAAAAGATATCATAGAATTATTAGTCAAGTAATGCATCTTTTCACGGATGCCATTAGAATTGATCAGAGGGCCTGAAAATCACCTAGAATAATTTGTACACAAAAAAGCCTAAACTACGGTTCGAAAATAACTTGCCATGGCCTGAAATCAGGCTATTGCCTGAAAACTGGCATCCCTGATCTTTTGCAAAATTAGTACAAAATGACATGTAGCAATTCGCACCCCCCTTTTTTCTGGTGGAGTTTTTATTGGTAGTGAACAAGATAAATATGACAGTGTATAATGTGTATAATGACTGTTCACAAATCACAATTAGTGACATTTTCATGGCATGACAATTTCTGGATTAACCGTATCTAAACTAAGGATTCCCAGACTAGAGTACAGCTTACAGTGACCTCATTTACATGTAACAAACACTGTACTACTTCAGAGGAGTGTTTTACAAACCCCAAGATCAACTTTAAGTTGGACCTACATGTAGATATGGCAGGCCATTCATGCCACTGGTTGCTCTCACCATTGGTTCCACAATTATGATCTTTAGATATTTTTTCCTTCAATAATGAATCATCAACAAATGTAGATTCTGTAGATTTATAACCATGATTTGTACTGTACGTCCCTTGAGAGACCAATGCCAGTAAATGGTGAGAGCAAACAGTGGCATAAACAGCCAGCCATTGTTAAGTCCAACTTAAAGTTGATTATAGTCTTTGTGAAACATCCCCCTGGAAATATCTTTCTCATCTGTCCGTGCTTCCGAAGTGACATACCGTACAAAGCTTGGGAAGGCTCTATTTCCCCCTAGTGAACTAGAACACAACCTTCGCTTCTATAAATATCAAGTCACTTATATAAACACTACCTCTATGTTAAAGCAAATAGCTGACAATGAATGTCGTGGTCTAGCGGATAAGTCATTCGATCGTGGACCACAGGGTTTGCGGTTCAAGCCCTGCAGCACTAATGTCTTTTGGCAAGACATTAATGTATATTTGCTACTCTCCACCCAGGTGAAGTAATACGGTACCTGTTGGGAATTTATACCTAGAATGCTTGGAGCGCCTAAGGGCAGCTGGGCTAAAGCCTGGGTAATAATACCACTTTGTAAGCATCTCGCGCATGCCTTGGGATGGGTACATATTAACTCCGGGAAGCTCCAATGCCTTTGGCATCAGCGTCGGAGCTTCCCAGAGTTAGGTACATATGTGCAATACAAACGTAGCTACAGTGAAACCTGTCTATAAAGACCACCCAACGGAGACGAGAAAAGTGGTCTTGACAGGCAGGTGGTCTTTATGTACAGGCTCCTTTAGTACACGTATGTTTCAATGAGAAAACAAAAAATGTGGTCTTTGTAGACAGGTGGTCTCTAAAGCCAGTTCGATGGTATAGTTAAACCACCTGACTATAAAGGCCACATTTGTTGTTTCCCTTGAAAATGGTTATTGAATCATTTACTAAAGGAACCTGTCTACAAAGGTCACTTTTTGTGTTTCCCTTGGGCGGTCGCTATAGACAGGTTTGACTGTATTATGATTGTTATTAGTAGTAATGAAGTTGTCGTCCATACCCTGTACTACTGCTAGATGTGTTCTTCTCATCTGCCTGAGCTTCTATCCTTGGACTCTTCCTGGCGGCCAACGGCTCCTCTGTCGTTGGTTCCAGAGAGTCTCGCTCCATCTGATGAACAACGGCCATTGAAAGACGCTTGGACAGTCTAGCACTCGACCTTCTCAAAGACTACACAAGAGAAATAAAGAGATGATGGATTATACAGGATAATTCATCCATCTGATGAACGGCCATTGAAAGACGTTTGGATAGTCTAGCACTCGACCTTCTCAAAGACTACACAGGAAAAATAATAATAATAATAATGGTGGCTTCTTATAAAGTGCACATGTCCATCAGGTTGTGACGCTCCTGGCGCTGCCTCGATTATTACCCTGGCTTTAGCAAGGCAGCCACTGCTGCGCTCTAGCATTTCAAGGAATTAATTCCTGCCAGGTACCCATTTACATGTACATCACCTGGGTTGAGTGTGGCAAATGTAGATCAATGGATTAATTTGAGACTCAAAATTCATTTCTGAAGGAATGTATTACATGTAGATAAAATTCAGTATCACATCTGGGATAAGTATCAATATCTAAATAATCTGAAGTGGTTAGGAATATTGCTGTAGTCTATCGTGCACAAATCATTGTTGATAGCTTACATGTATCTCAATCTTTTGCTTACAAATTCACCTATCCTATCCATCACAGATTAACTCCCGATGAGTGTAAACAAATTTGTAGACCTTTTCAAATTCTTTAGTTTTACTTACTGTAACCCAGTTTCTATTTAATCCAAAAAGCTCATGATGAATATTAGAAGTGACAACATGAGACGAAAATTGTAGAAATGGTGTAATTAATTATTCAAATAAGGAACTAGATTTATGTTGCAAAATTAAGAAGACGAGAACTGTAAGAAAAACTTCTGTTTGAGAAAGTTGACCTAAATATGAGCGACACTAACTAACCTGTCTACCCGGATGCATACGCAGGTATGTTGACGTCCTGCGTTTAGACTGGCTCATGGCTATGGACGATCGCCGAGTGGATCTTCTCATGCTTCTCCTTGTAGGGATCGCCTTCTCCTCCATTAGGCTATCTTCCTCCATTCCAGATGATGAGGATATCGACTTGGACAGGGCTTGTGTGGACGACTGGCTGTCCGTTTCATCTTGACTTTCAGGGGATTCCTCAAGGGAGTCTTGGGAAAGGGCTGTGTCGTCTGCTGCAGCGACTGGATCAGCTTCATCATCGTCATCATCTGACCGATGATCATTTTTGATGGTTGCTTTGGTGGGAGCGTCCGATACCGTTGCCTTCTCCTGCTCTGACTGTGAGGCCTCAGAAGTTTCCGGCTTCAGAGTTTCAGCGGGAGGGTTGGCTTCCACAGCTCTGCAGGTGAGACTTGAGAAGAACGCAGTGACCTCTTTGGCCTTCTTCTCACCAAGAACAGCCTTAGCTTTGGTTCCATCTTGAGCATTCTTCCGGACTGGTTTCTCTTTGGGGACTGTAGCTTTGGAACTGACCTTGAGGCTTAGGATGGGGCTGCTGCGGAATGGACTACCTGAGGCTGCCGCTGTTTTAGCCTTGGGGGTCTTAGGGGTCTTAGGGCTACATGGAGCTTGACCCAGTCTGGGTCGTTTGGGAGAGCTAGCTTCCTCTGCGGTATGTTTCTTGGCGATCTCCGTCTCATGGAGCTGGACGAGGCGCTTCACGTGGTCTTTGTAGCGAGATGCCCCTGGTGTTGAAGGTGTCTGGGGAGTACGAGCCAGTTTGCTGCATAACCTTTTCCCACGAACAGAACCTGGCGCCTCTGCCCTAACATGTGGACTTGATGCTGGAGACTGACTAACATTCTGTACAAGTCTGCTACGTGTCGACTGACGTGTGCTTGTTGCTGTGCGAGTAGCCCCTCTGGTTGAAGCCCGCAACGGCTTAACCTTGACTGGAGGAGGTGCAGCCTTTTCCACTTTGACCGTTGCTTCCGTCTCCTTTGCTGAAGTGGCACTTTCCTCTTGTGATGTTTGTGCCTCTGTGCTGCTTTTCTTCTTCGACCCTCTTCCTTTCGTTGCAGTGATTCGAGTCTTTGGTCCTTGCTTGGCTGCCGTTCTGGCTGTCGAGGCTCTTGTCGAAGCTCTTGTTGCTCGCGACCGTTTTGCCGGTGGTGATGCCTCGGCCGGTGCAATAATTTCCGGTTCAACAACCTCTTCCTTGACAATCACTGTTGGAGATGATGGTGCTGACGTTGTTTCTACTGCTACATTCGAAGCTCTTGTTGCTCGGGACTGTTTTGCCGGCGGTGACACCTCGGCCAGTGCAACAACTTCAGGATCAACGACCTCTTCCTTGGCTGTAACCGAGGGAGGTGATGGTGCGGATGTTGTTTCTACTGCAGCATTCACAGGGGACAGAATCTCTTCTTTGACCTTCTTACGCGGAGGTGTGGCAGTGGGAGGACTCATCAGAGCAGCGCTCTTGATGGCATCCTTGTGGAACTCTGACATACATGACTGACGCTTAGTTGATTGACGTTTGGTTGATTGACGGGCTGAAGTCCGACTTCTGCAGGTGAGATATAAATTCATGAAAAATAGTTCAATCAGGGAAAAAAATACAAAGGGGCTCAGGGCAAATTTGCCCTCGAAAGTCATAAAAGAGCCCCAACAAATTTACATAGAGTTCAATGCAAAACAAATTAAAGAGTTTTACTTTCATGCAAGCAAGCTTGAAGAGTAGCCCCCCCCCCCCCCCACCCTCATTTTTAAATATTTTTCCCCATGAGTTCCATCCATTTAGTCAAATTTAAAAAGGTAAAGCTTTAATCTCAGTATAAAGTGCTCCTTTATACATGTAACAAGGTGCTTCGCTGGTCCCGGCTCTTTTTTTTTTTTTACCCTGATATAACAAGGTAATTTCCTTGGTCCCAAGGACCTCGTTATAACGAGTTTCCATTGTATTGTGTGATTTATGTGATATTTCCGGACCTCTAGATTAGACTATATTTGTAAATGTAATAATCCTCTATCAATAATTTGTAAAATCAATGTTTGCCCTTCACAATAAAGCTTTTGAAATAGTGCTGTAAGTCAGACGCTATGTTCGTGTTCGGTTCGGTTCGGCAGAGTTCGGTAATTTTTCACCCGAACTTGGTTCGGTTCGGGGTTTGGTAATATAATAGCAAGCAGCGTTATAGCCACGGCGGTCGGCACTGGGCGGGAGGACTTCTGCACAGTGCACACTGCTTCCGACCAGCAAGAATTTCACATTAAAAAACTGCTCTAAACGTAATTATTTGCGAAGAAAAATACTACTTACATTCGTATTTCCGTCTTGAATCGTGTTTTATTTTCAATTTTAAAAGAATCATGTTTTCAATTTGTCGATAAATGATATTTTTTAAAGATTTTCCGAGACGGTTTTTGTCTAATGTTGGAGTCATGAAAGCTCCCATCTTGAACAGAGACTCAGGCTCGTCAATAACTGTTTTTTATAAGTTTTTATTTTCAATAGGAAAAATATGAAATCCCTATTTTTCCTGGATAAATAAATACCATACTACAATATATATTCATTTCATTATTTATATTGTAACATTTGTCCGATATGGTTACAATTAAAATATTAATTTTTTGTTGAGTGGGTTTGAGCTGAACCTGTTTTGATCACGCACATGTATTCTTGTTTATATGGCTTGCGATCGCGACGTAGCGTGGTCAGGATTTGGGATTTAAATGGCGCCAGTGAAGTTGCGCCCACCACTGGATAGGCATAAATCACAAAGGTGGAAAATGGGAAAAAAGTAAATATAAAATGAGCAATCATGACATGAAAATTAGGTACAAAATGACAAGTTTATTAGCTTGCAAAAACGTTTACATTTTTCTGCCGAACATCCGAACCAGGCAATGTTCGGCGAACTTCCGTTCGGTTCAGCTACAGCACTATTTTGAAAGCAAAATGCAGGTTAGAAGTAATTTTCCCTTCCAAAACAATTGAATCCCTGCTGAAAATGACTGAACAGGGCATCTAAAGTGGTATGCCTTCACAAATGGTCAAGCATGCTGTACTGTACTGTACATGCACATCTTTTATTTCTTTCACTATATGCATTATCTTCATAGTCTCAAAGTAGGGAATTACAATTTCATTATCAAGTTAAAAAAAAAGAGCTTTGAATATTAAACCACTTACCTTTTAGCTGGTATATCATCAGTTTCTTCATGGATTGGAACGATTGAACTCTTGCGAACAACCACGCGACCTTTACGTGCTCTATTCTTGACTGCAGGAGTCTTCGGTAAAAGAGGAATGTCATCCCTGGAAAGAGAAAACAAGAGTTGAAATCCAGGCTACGTATCGGACCCCAAAGAATGGTTGAATTTCAGATTTTGGCGAATTTCAGGACTTGGAATACAGATTATTATTCCTTTTTTTTCAATATACATGTAGGCCTACATTCATATGAAAATTATAATGAAAATTTTAAAAGATGCACTTGATGGAAAAAAACCACACAAGTATGTATCTGTGATTAATTGAATACTTTTCAATGGTCATCTTAGTCATGATTCTTTATCTGCTTCAAAATATACCTAATACTGAGTTGGCCCAGGGTCCTGTTTCACAAAACGTTTTATCCATGACACATTCCAAGAACGGTTATAAGAGCTCTATGGAAATTCTTGCATTTGATTGGATCATTGGATGAGAGAAAATTTGTCACAACATTGTTGCACTTGGTATTGATAGCAAGTTTTATGAAACAGGGGGCCTGTCTGAATTGATCCAGTAAAAGACCTACCTTCCAAAATGCATCTTGGCTTCTATCAAGATCTCTTCCAGCCATTTCATGTGCTTGGATTCAAAGTCTGAGAGGAAGTGTCGGATCTTTGCTTCTCCATCCTGAAACACACTGAGCCCGAGGAGGGGCGGATCTTCAGCCATTATTAATATGTAGTTTGATGGACCAACCTGAGCAAAAAGGAAGAAAATTAGAAAATGAAAATAAACAAGACAATTAATTTGACTGCATCTCCTATAAATATGATGCCTCAGGCTTAAATTCAGTTAAAGAAATTGTTGTAACTCGTACTATGTTGAATAAACCAGTACACTATATAATTTTGAAATATCATGCTGAAAACAAACATAACAAAAAAGCAATAATCAAAGACCACACAAAAAAATTCTTACATAGAACAGTATGGTGGTGTGACCATACATGTAGTTCCAATATTAAAGGGGAAGTCCACCCTGAAATTAAGTTAGTTTTAATAGGAGTAGAAAAATGAGAGAAACAAGTCAGTGAAAGTTTGAGCAAATTCCGATTAAAAATAAGGAAGTTAGGATTTTTGAAGTTGTGATCAATCAAACACAAATTGGCAACTCTATGACGTATCATGCGAGCTCAACTTCCATTTGCTCAGTACTAAAAAAATCTAAAATTTTAATTTTCCCTCAAGAAAAATTTCAACCATACATGCACCCTAAATATAATAATTGCAAATATGTTTCTATACTCCCCCTGCAAGGAACAAATATATATTCCGTCATCAATAACGAAGAAAACATGATTTTATGGAATATTATGCACAAAGCAAATGAAGGAGAGCTCGTATAATAAGTCACAGAGTTGCCAATTCGTATTTGATTGATCACAACTTCAATAATTCATAAATTTCTTATTTTCATTCAGAATTTGCTCAAACTTTCACTCACCTGATTTTCTTATTATTCTGCCTCTATCGAAACAAACTTATTTTGGGGGTGGACTTTTCTTTTAACACCACCATTGGAAAGAGGAACCTAAAACCATCCAGGGACGAACTTTTCTTGCAGTCTTTTGCGTCATTTCCGAATAAATATGAACTTACTGACAAAATTTGCAAACTTTGGTCACCCCCTCATACTAGTACTAGTCTATGTAGTTTAATCTCTTCTCCTTCCCTTTTTTCAGCCCCTCCTTCAATTATTATGTATCTTTCTGTACATTTTTGTTTTGAAATGAAATAAAAAAGAATCTGAGGACATTTAGACAACAGGAATAATCTGAATAACAAAAATCATTAATATGTTTAAGACAGTGCATTGCATACACAGCAAGTGTTTGTGTTAACGTGATGTTCATGGAATAATGAACAGAAAACATCGTTTTCGCTGTCTTTTTTTCTTTGACGCTCTGCGCGTGTAGGCTTCCCGATCTGCGCCCTGGATTTATCACTCATTACATGAAAGTCTCTGTAAAATACATCAAGAAAATCATTGTGGATTTGTGGAATCCATTATTTGCACCTTTTTATGAGTGTACAATCAGGGATTTTACGAAAATGAGATTGTGATGTGAAGGTCGAGTTGTGCATAACGCATATTCAGCATTTTCGAGCGAACCACGCTCTATAGCATGAATATTCATATTTGCTGCGCCACTACTGCGCATGCGTACTTTGTCTTCGCCATGTTGACAATACAACATCGATGGCTGGGTTTAGGACGAGGAATGAGGAATCACCCCTTTTCACCAGTAGGGCCCGGATACTGGTCCGAGAATGAGATCTCGTCCTCTTTACCTTTACCTTTACCGCAAATACTGGAAGAATGCTGAGACAGCAGTCGAGCTTCCAGGTCTATCTTCTTGATCTACATGTATCTTCTTGTACTCATACTCTTTAATAATAATTCTCATTATATGCAAGGGAGGCAGAGGGGCAAGAGGTTGCATCTTGACTGGACAATGTACCATGTACAATGTCCCAGGAGCAAAGAAATTGAAAAAATCAGTTCGAGTATTGAGAGATATGACACTGTTCCTTCCAGCAACGATCAAGCCTGGTTTTGAAGGCGTCTATGGAGGGAGCCTGAACTACTACTTCAGGCAGAGAGTTCCAGTCATCAATCACTCTGTGACTAAATGTGTTCTTCCTTACATTTGTCCTACACCTCGGCTTTACAAGCTTGAGACTATGCCCTCTTGTTGGTGTGTCTGCTAGTTGGAAGAAGTGGTCAGGGTTGAGTCTGTCATGCTCATAAATGATCTCGTACTAGGGTGTCTGAACGATTTTTCAATTTTCAATTTGGGATCGTTTTTCACCATTTTTGTTTGATATTTGAATTAAAAATGTAATCAGAATAATACATTTCAAATTTCAAGTCTTGCCGATGTTTCTATCAAAAGATACAGCCCCTTCAAAACGCTGAAATATTCATAGCATTTTGCTCAGAATCGACGAAAAAGACGTACACGCAGAGTTATATTGTTTTGCTAAATTTAGCCAAACAGCTGTATCGCGCGATATGCAAGCGTATGCATATCGTACGCAAGTTGCTCAGCCAATGCGCGACTTGCAAGCTTGAGCCACGCTGTCTCCGCGATATGTGCCATTGACTAGTATGGGTGGCCGTTCCCGCCATAGAACCCGGAAGTGAATACACGTTGTAGTCAATGGCAATATCGCGGAGACAAGTTGTCTCCGCGATATTGCCATTGACTACAATGTGTATTCACTTCCGGGTTCTATGGCGAGAATCGGCCACCCATACTTTCATTCACTATAAGCGCACATGTTACGATGTAACCATGGTTTGGACTGAGCGGAGCTCACGCCTCCCTAATTAGCTGATTCCAAAAATGTGGGAAGGGTATTTTCAAACTGTTATAACAAATGATCCCTTGGGGCTAGCGAAAAAAAAAGCATCTGGATATTATCCTTACGTCTAGCCCTGCTTAAGCCGCGGGGGCGCAGCTCAGGAAAGTGGCAAATTTTGGAGCTAGGATGCAAACAACATTTCAATAGCTGTTTTGACCAAGATATTTTTAGAATTCTGGGGGTGGCCCCCTATGGGGAATATGGAGAAAAACCTGCTCTTTCATATGACACCTCATTTATTGAGTTTCACCTTCAGGATCATTTGTTATAAAGGTTTGAATTTCAAATTTTTTCATAAAATCATTGACCAATTTTGGATGGTCGCGCAATGCACGTAGACCACATAGGGAAGCGTACAATCTCTATGGGAAGGGTTTTAGCACACAACATTGGGTGCGCGCTCAGACACCCTACTCGTACACCTGAATCATGTCTCCTCTCATTCTCCTGTACTCAAGGGATGGCAAGTTTAGGCATTTAAGTCTCTCTATGTAAGGTAGGTGTTTCATTGTGGAGATCATCTTTGTTGCTCTCTTCTGTTGCATCGCCAATGCGCCGATCAAAAATATGAAACGTCTGCGAAAATGCAGACGGTCCTAATTTTTGAGGACGCATCGGTCTGTTTATGAAGACGATCCTTAATTTATTCTCGGACCAGCGCCCCGACTGCACTGCACTGTTCACATCAAAGACTTCTTCAAATTATATTTTCCAGTGTGGTGCATCATGCCCAGAATAGTCGAAAACACTGACTAGACCCTAGTCAGAATTTGTACACACTTCAGGAAAAATGTCGCCACAACCGCTGTTTGATTTTTGCTTCAGATTTCGCACTGCAGTTGATCTGGCCTAAAAAAGTTGAGCATAATAAACGTACCCTAAGTTACTTGTGTGTGAAAGAATTAAGCACGCCTGGACGGTGTGAAAATGCATAAGCGCCGATTATTTAGGCTGTCGCAGATAAAGCCAACCTAAAAAAAAGTTAAGATTACCTTCACGATCGCGTCGCGACATGCCTAGCCCCGGCGCGGCGTGGCCCGAACCTGTCGGGGACACAATCAACGCACAAACACATAGGCCTACATCATGCACACAATGCAATCGCGAATGCAAGTAAACAAGACAATGTCGAGTGGTATTTACTGCATTATAAAATGAATTTCGGCATGATAATCACAACTCTACATGTATCAAATTGTTCAAAAATTATATTCGTTGATAATTATATACTCACGGTATAACTTGCTTTAATAAATCATCCAAAAATCGCGATATTTTGCACAGGCTTACATCCAACTTGCTGATCATTTGGCACTCGCGGTTCAAATTCAGCTGTGGGAAGACAGCCAATCAGGAGACAGATAAAGCCAAACGTCATATGCGGTCATTGGGTCAACTCTGCTCAATAGATGGCGCTCTAAACCGCCACGTAGAAATTCATTTGCTGTCATTTTCGCAAAAAGTGAGTAACCTACCGGCCTCATAGATTTATTTAGTTTTCTATTTATTGGTGTAAATTTCGACTATACTTACATTCAAATCAATTTCTGTATTATAGACGTCTTTGTCCGGAATTCATTACATATACGTTTTGGTCATTTTAAATTCATTTCATGAATTGTTATGCGAAGCTTAGGCTAGCTTAGCGCGTAGACACGTCGGGACAAACGTGAATTTTTGCGAGTGGGACTAGCTACTTCTAGATCTAGACTATGTGCTAAATACTAAAACCCTTCCCATAGAAATTGGACGTACGGTATCCCTATGCAGTCTATGTGCATTGCTCGCTCATGCAAAATTGTTCAATGCTTTTATTACCATATAATTGAAATTCAAACCTAATTCTTTGTGCATGTGAATTGTGAATGATTGTGATCGTGAGCTGGTGAGCTTGCTGAAGTCTGTGAAGAACGTGAATGTGAAGTTGAAGTAGGGTCTACAAGTTCTTCTCCATATAGATCTAACTTAGATCTAGCCTAGGTCTATACCTCAAAAGGCTGATTATCTCGGAACTCTAAAATATCTTTATCAAAACTGTGATTTAAAACGTAGCTCCATGAGAAATGCAGCCCGCGTATTGTAAACTAATGGAGTAATGAGTAAAGGTAGGCACATTCATGGGGCACTAGAGGGCGCTTCGGTCGCGTACGAAAATCTGAATGGCCTTGCTGCGGTGGGTCGGCAATAATCAGCCAAAACTTGGATATGGGAGGTTGGAAGGATATATCTTTTTTTATAATGTTATCCGGTCTTACCCTTAACCATCCTATCCTAGATCTAGACCTATGTTTAATCTATGTAGGAATAACATGCGAGTATGATAAGAGAAACATCGGGACCATTACTGAAGTAACTTTTAAAATATTAGCCTAGAAATGACCACCAAACGGAAAAAATTGACATTTTTCCCAACAAATCTTCATAAAGACTGAGTTATAAACAATTCACATCTAGGTACACTAATATGTAATACAAATATGATTTTCTGAAAATTCAGGTATGATTTTTTAAGTTTCTTTCAAGTATATTTCTGCGCATTGCAGCGCCAATATTCTTCACTGCTTCAAAATCACCCTTGATTTTTTTTTTTTGCAACGAATTTGATACGAGGTCTGCGAGTGTTCCCCGTTCCTTGCGTGTTGAAAGTTTGGTAATACATAGTTTGCATTGACTCGCGCACGAAAAAATGGTCAAAAACAAAATGTCAAATGAAGAAATAAACAAGCTTTTGTATAGTTATAAGAGTTCTACCGAGGTTTCTTTGTCGATTTAATTTATTATATAGTCTCAATTAGAATTCAGAATTATCTCACTGAAAAGTTAAGGAACCGACGATGTTCTCGATCGTAGTTATTTTCATTTTGCCAGCAGCCGATCTAGCGTTGTTTGGGCAAAAAGCTAGGCCGCTGCCTTCCCACCGCGAACCTTTCCGAGTCCCACTAAAATGGCGCGCTGCGGAGCTCCGAAGCTGCGTTGGTATCGCTGCAAACTCTCAGCCGCCTAGCTCCCCACGACGGACCATTCGCGGTATGGTGAGAGTGTGTGTGTGAGGTATGATTTTGGATTCGAGAACGCACGTAACGCTACCGTGCGCATCATTTAGAGCTGTCGAATGTGTATGACCAATTTTACATGTACGATTTTTAGTACAGATACTTGGTCAGTTTTCTTCTTATATCTTTGGTTTTACAACATTTAAAAATATAATTTCTTCAAATCTGCTCCTGACTCGGTTCAGACTAATTGTCTGATGTGTTTTCAAGTCAATTTTTTGAATATATTTTTTTGCATGAATTTGCCTAGTAAAGGAGGAGTTTTTCGGCCACTTAAGACAAAATCCTATTTTTTGGACCCTTTACTTCCTATTTATTATCATTTCTTGTTCAAATCATGAAGCAAATATTATTATTATTATAGCGAATAAGGCTTCGACGGGTAGTCGAATGCTCGAGTACCCGCACGGTTGACAACTACTCGGGTTCGATTTTTCGTACCCGAATATTCGGCCGCAAAAAAAAAAAAAAAAAAAAAAAATGTCCAGGCCCACGCTTACCTGTGCCAGGGAGAGCGGCGACCGCTGGCATGGTACCGTCGGTAAAAATGTTTCCCAACTCAAGCACTGTCAAACTCACCTTTCAAAAACTGGGACCAAATGTCCAGATTTCTGTTTGGACTTGGAGGAAAATGGATTATTCTGCCATCTTTGGTTTTTAAAACAGCATTGTTTACTGTTATTATTCTTATTAAATCGGCGCCATTCAACTGCAACTCAAAGTAAAATTGCATGCGTTTTCGGCGAGGGACCTGGGAAACTGCCGAGTGGTATGGTAGTGGCAAAAATTTAAAAAAAAAAAATCAATAAATCAAAAAATTAAAAAAAAAATCAAAAAAATTCAAAAAAATTCAAAAAAATTATAAAAAAACATGGCGTCCGAATATTCGAGTATTCGCTTGTGAGCCTGGGAGTGTACTCGGGTACCTCATTACACTGTTGTGCACAGCCTTAATAGCGAACCAGTTTTCGGCCGCAAAGTCAATAGGAGGCGTGCGCGCCGTGCGTTTCCGTGCTGATCTATAGCACTAGCGGGCGGAGCAGGTATCCCACGCCAGAGCTCCCCGGAGCTCGCCAGGCCGAAAACTAGTACTGCAGTGATCGAAAATTGGAATCTGAATTAGACAGAGATATCGTGTGTGCGTTGCGGTGTCCGGCTGCATTGATTTAATACATGTGGTGAGATACTTTTGAGCTTGCGACTAGCACAAAATCAGGCTCTTAATCTGAAAAATACTTGAAATAAAGCTCAATTTGTGGTACCCATATTTCTTACAGACACGCGTAAGATACTCATTTTTTCAGATTCGGGTAGCGGGACCACCGATTACATCGCTAAAATGTGATATTTTAGGATATATTTTTCATTGCAAATGGGGTTCTTCATTGACTCTGGCATGGTATGGTATGTTCGGGATATGTGATATGCTATTATGCGATGTATTTTAAAGGGATTTTACCATGCATCCAACCAATCGGCCAAAAACTGAAGATGGTCGATTACCCCCTCTTTTACTATAATTGGTCAGCATGCATGGTCAGCTCTACATATCGAGAACCTAACTAAGCCACTAAGCGAGCAATGCAAAGTGTGATTATTGTGTGTGTGTGTGTGGGGAATTGTGAAGACTGGTGATAATAGATCTAGGTCTACTAAAAGTATCGACTGTCGTGAGGTTTTCGGAGAGAAAACCCCCCTAAAAATCAGTCGAAATCGAGAGTGACAGACGTTTGCGTTTAAGTCAGTCTAAGTCTAACTGAGCCCCAGATCCTTATTAGGATAACGATTCAAACAGTGGGTTTGGTCACATTTTTTCAAACAGTAAAGAAGTAGTACTTAGTAGACTAATGACACTTTCAACTTACAATGTTTTTCAACTCCTCTTGGCATCCGGTCAACCACTTGAAATTATAATTTGAAGAAGTCCTTGATGGGAAAAAGGGTGATTCTTTGGCCTAACCCAATTCATCCATGTTGTACATTGTTGATTAAAATGGCGAAGAGAAAGTAGGCATGCGCGATTGCTGGGCAGCAAACATTCATGCTATAGAGTGCAGTTTGCTCAAAATTGCTGAATATATGCATGACTTGAAGAAAAAGATAACATGAATATAACTTGTGCATATTCAGCAATTTTGAAATTTGAAATTGAAATTAAGTATTTATTGTCCATTCAGAAGAAAACAATCCTACCAGTAAGAGTTTGTAGATCAATTTACAAAGAGATAATCGTAGACAGTTACAGTAATGGTAAACTATATTATTTCTCTTTATTCTGTCCACAGTTTTCAATTTTTTCTTCATTGTACTGAGGATCTGGAAACGGAATCAAGATGACGTCTGCTTTAGAGCTCTCCTGCTACACGCTCATTAACATGAACATGGACGTAGAGCCCCCTAACGAGATGCAGCTCAAAAACGACATAGGTAAGCAAAAAATCATCCAGTCAATAAGCCACCTCGGAGATAGCACTTGACAGATAACCTCCAAATATCCACAGACCTTTTACCAAGGAGATGTCCCACTTTGCACATTTTAGAACAATCACTGCCAAGGGTGATATTAATTTCAACTATTTCCTGGCTACTCTGGATAATAAATGGTAGTTAACGTTTTATATGCTTTCTAAATTAATGAGAAATCATCTTATAATAGAAATTAAGTTGTTTTATTGTCTTGTATTGGATCAGAGAAACCAATAAAGGTACCCAAATCACAAAATAATGTTTTTGAGACATGAGCTTTTCCTTTAAAGCATATCTGCACTAGTTTGGCCAGGAGGGATTAGACCTCCCTGCGTGGTCAATGCAGGTGGTTAATCTCATCAAATCAACTCTCAATTTTAACATAAGAAAAAGGGGACCTTGGGGATCAATGGGTACCGCTTAGGCATTGTTGGCTATATAGAGAGCGCAAGTAGCTCTACCGTAAGTAGTGCAGTGGGGCTTTAAAACAGTAGCTTTTTAATTAATGGCTTATACATGTTTGTATTGTGTTTTAACAGAGAAGGGAGATACCAAGACCAAGACTGAATCTCTGAAGAAGCTCATCTACATGATCCTCAACGGAGAGAAGTTTCCTGGAATCTTGATGCATGTCATCAGATTTCTACTGCCTCTCAAGGTATGTGTCTGATACCCAATATCTACAGTTCTACCAAGTTTACAAACGTGTTTCATACCTACAGTAGGGCTAACCACAACTAAGATTTTTTGTATTGTTCATTGTCATTAAAATAGTATTCAACATAAAAAGGTTTCACATTTTATGAGCCTCTTTTGGATTCTAAGTAGAAATATCAGTCAAAGAATTTCTCAGAGTTTTGTTGTTTACACGATTTACCCTGTGATGGCTAGGCTCTTTGGTCACTCAGTGTTTGGGGTTCAGGAAAGTCATAGAAAATTTAAAACAATTTTTTCTTCTTCTTTTTAGGTAAATACTTGTAGTTTTTGAGAAATATTTTTATTTATTTTCAAATTTTACTGAACAAAAGTCTTCATTTGAATTGGTGTTGGGCTTCAGAGATGCAACACAGACTAAAATGTATAATATATTCTAGACTCTAATGATGTCATGACTTGATTTTGGATCTTTTCCTAATCTTAAGGTTCTCTCCTTTTTTCTTCTCAGGACCACACGATCAAGAAGCTGCTGCTGATCTTCTGGGAGATTGTTCCCAAGACACACCCGGATGGCAAGCTCCTGCAGGAGATGATCCTTGTATGTGATGCATACAGGAAGGTAAGAACAGTGTACAACTATCTACGATTAATGCAGGGGCCCGTTCCTCGAAACCGTCATAAGTCTAACTTCTTGACTATCCCATTGAAACGTGTGTTATACAATTAACACACGTTTCAATGGGAATGGGAACCGTCCCCTGATAACTAGGTAATTTACATGTATGACCCTAGTCTTATCAGCAAACTGAATGCCAGCTGACGGACTATTGGCTATTTGGAATGATGTTGGCTTTACTTTGGTATGCTTTCATTTTATTTTTGGTGGTATGAAGGGATCGGGATGTAAAACGTGATTCATATTTGTGATATGCGAACAGATTGTTAACCACAGATTATACAGCCAAACCTGTCAGTGTCTATAAAGGCCACCCAAGGAATCAGAAAAAGTGGCCATTGTAGACATTTCAATGGGAATGGGAACCGTCCCCTGATGTATGATGTATGATGAAAAAAAGAAAAAAGATGCAGAAACCAATAAATCAAATCAAATCAAATCAAATCAAATCAAACTAGGTAATTTCTAGGCAGGTTCTATAATGCACATTTCTTTTCTGAGGGAGACAAAATACATGGCCACTGTAGACAAGTGGCCTGTATAAAGAGGTGTCCACTAAAGACAGCTTTGACTGTACCAGGGATACTCCTACTGAATTCCTTTCATCATTTCCTTAGTTTGTTGACCTCACACATCCAAAAAAGAGCATAGCAGAGGGTTGAGGGAAATTTGTGCATGTGTTGTTGAATTGTATTAAAAGAGGAATAAAATGGTTTATTGGTCAAGGAGGATAGACAAGGAAATAAACAATCATGGAACATCAGGAGTTTTAAGTCTGACAGACATGAGCGCTATACAAGAACCCACTATTATTATTATTATTAATATCGACACAAATAAAGGGCTAAGAAGCTTGCCCGATAGTGATGTCACTACAGCATCATGTGCATACCATTAACATAGGCCCATCAAATCATACCATAATATAACATCTGTGCCTCGAACCATGTTTAAGCACATTCTAATCATAAAGTTTCACCTGTCACTCTTGAAATCAGGCGGGCATGTACAAATCAATGTCAGTGTGAGACTATGTAGATGATTGAACGCTTAGCCACTAAAACCGTAACGCTTCCTTTTTTCCCTCCATACAGGATCTTCAGCATCCCAACGAGTTCATCCGCGGCTCCACCCTCCGCTTCCTCTGCAAGCTCAAGGAAGCCGAGCTCATCGAACCACTCATGCCCGCCATCAGGGCGTGTCTTGAGCATCGCCATAGTTATGTCAGGCGCAACGCAGTCTTGGCCATCTTCACCATCTACAAGTGCGTATCCTACTTTTGCCACTCGTTGCATGTTGCAATGTTTTATGAACGATTTTTCTTGCCCCGTTTTTTGTGTGGCTTCGTAGTCTCACATTTAATGCATGTTTTGACACACATGAAGGGAGCCTGCAGGGGGATGTTTCACAAAGATCCTTGGTCGAACTTAACTCTAAGTTGGACTTAAACATTATGGAGAGCCATTTCTAGCCTTAGAATAAAATAGATCCAAAAGCAAAAATTCAATTTTTTTAAATTTTTCATAAATTTCACATCAAGAACATGAAATCTCTTTGATGATAACAAATTTGAATGATTTGAATCAACATTTTATGCCTTCTAAAATAACTTTTACAAAATATTTTCAAAGATGCTAACGGCTTTCCATAATTGCTAAGTCTAACTTAGAGATAAGTTCAACTTAGCATCTTTGTGAAACACCCCCCTAGTCTTGCAAGTCAACACTAATTTACAGGACTTGCTTGCTGTGATATGTTTAGGGATTTTTTTCTCCTTATCCAAGGTTTTGTCTGTTTAACCTCAAGTCCTGTGCATCTTATGAAACCAACTATATAATCAATTCCTTCTTGATAGTTTGCACAGTGTAAAATATGCAGTGATTTGCAACAATTTAGACATTTTATTATATTGATGATTCCTGAACCTTGCAGTACACACCAATACTTATATGTATATTGATTCCACAACATTTATTTCACAATGCAATCGCATGACCAGAACTTAAATCCATCTTTAACAATCGCCGTCTATAATTGTTGTAATATGATAAATATTATCTTATCATTTCAGGAGCTTTGATACACTGATACCTGATGCCCCCGAGCTCATCCATAACTTCTTAGAACAGGAGCAGGATGCTTCCAGTAAGAGAAACGCCTTCATGATGTTGATACATGTTGACCAGGTAAGGCAGGGAGCAGCAAACTCTATGTGTATGTACTAAAGTATGCATGGCTATGTAAGGTACTTGTGTAGAGAAATTTGGAGGCCGTATATTCAATTTGCAAATTGGAGGAAAGTGATATCGTATGACAGTGTAACTTACAACATATGGCTTCTGAACAATACATCTTAATTGCTCATGTATGTACAAGATAAAAAAATACATTAAAATCAAATTACCTAGCGCTATATACAAATTGGTAAAATGTTGTCCTATTACAATTCTTGATATATACTGATAAAATATATTGTTAAGATTCTGGAGAATTCTTTGTTTTGAAATGTACAACAATTAAGTAATAAGACCAATTACTCCTTAAAATAAAATTTTATAAATAGTACCTTTGATTCAGAGCAAAACAGAAATTAATGCATTCAGATTTTTCCTGTTGTTACGTATCTGTATTTGTTATATATTGTAGGAGCGAGCTTTGGATTACCTGAGTACCTGTATTGATCAGATCCATTCCTTTAATGACATTCTACAAGAACTCAATATTATTATATATTTGTTTATTCTTTCTTTTTTCTTTTTTATTGTAGGAGCGAGCCTTGGATTACCTGAGTACCTGTATTGATCAGATTCATTCCTTCAATGACATTCTACAGCTGGTCATCGTTGAGCTTGTCTACAAGGTAAGGTACCAGGGACATCAAGCATTCATTCAAAGATGGTGCCATTTCAAGTTTGTTTAAAAAGTGGGAATAACATTCATTGATTCTTTTAGCGACTCGAGAAGAAGGAGAATTTTGAAAATAGATTTATGAAATTATGATGGTTCTGATTGCCCTCTTAGCATATTCCTCACTCTCCCTCCCTCCCTCCCCCTCTCTCTCTCTCTCTCTCTCTGTCCCTCCCTCTCTCTCCGTCTCTCTCTCTCATTCTCTTTATCTTTCTCTGTCCCTCCTCTCTCTCTCTCTCTCTCTCTCTCTCTCTCTCTCCTCTTTCTTTCTCTCTCTATCACTATATGCTTCTCCATCTCTCAACCCTCGCCTTTTCTCTCTCTCTCTCTCTCTCTCTCTCTCTCTGACACACACACTGTTTCACTCGTTTTGTCTAACTCTTTCATTCTCTGTCTAAACTTCCTCTCTATTTTTTCCCCAAAGCACTCCCAAAATTTATCTCTCACCTAAAAATGGCAAGCAGATATATTTTTTAAAAGTCTAAATGTTTGGGAATGATCGATTTATGTAGAACATATCTGTAAAAGACATTAATGATGGTAATAATCTCTCTACCTCTTAGGTGTGTCATACCAACCCATCTACATGTATATAAAAAAGTGTAAATGTTTGTGAAGGATCCATTTATGTAGAATATCTCTGTAAAAGATGATATTAAGATGTTAATAATCTCTCTATCTCTTAGGTGTGTCATACCAACCCCTCTGAGCGTGCCAGGTTTATCCGTTGCATCTACAACCTGCTTCAATCGTCCAGCCCTGCTGTGCGCTATGAAGCTGCAGGTACCTTGGTCACTCTGTCCAGCGCACCAACCGCTGTCAAGGTAAGCATTAAAGGGATTGGGTAACTTTGCCTCAGATTCTGAAACAAAATCATGGATTTAGCTCATGCTCCAATGATAATTATAAACCTTTAGGTCAGTCAGGAACCCCATGACGTTTACAAGCCGATCGCCTGTCTGATTATCAAGATATTTATGATTTGGAATCTAAATCAAATTTTGCGTTTTCCTAACGGTTTTCATAACACTACAGTCTATTGGGAAAAATGAGTATGGTAAAACCAGTCACTCACAGATTTTTACTTTTTTGAGGCACTTCTTGCTCATTTTGAAGCACAATATTTTAGGGCTTCAACATTACACCATATCACGAACACTGATAACACGTAGGGCTGGGCATCTCAGATTTAACATTGTTAAACGATGCCTTTAATGATATACTCCAGATATAATTAGGCAACACATTGCCGCAATAAGAATATGCCTAAAGCCATTGAATCGAATTGAACTGTACAGCATTGACATTTCTTGGAATGATGAACTGATGCTGAAAAGAGAAATATTTTTGACAGCATTGGTGATAATTTTTCTTTGGAAACTTCATGAAGCTTCATACTCTTGTTCTTTAAGATCTGTATAGCCACTGTCTTTCTAATATTGATCTGTAGGTAATTTGAGGAGGAATATTACCCACAGAGATTTATTAAGTTACAATCGAAGGTGCTTGGGTCTGATACATTTAAGTCTGGTATGGCATGTGAAACTTCATTCTAGTTCAGGAGTAAGAAGCTGTAATGCGAGAGACTTCAAGTCCCTGATCTGGATGGGTGGAAAGGGTGGGTGAGTTCTGGGTCAAATACTCTTTCAAAGTATACTTTCATGTATACTTTTTTACATTCTCATCAAGCTTTTGGTGTGATGCTGCTTTTCCAAGGTTATGTTCATAGGATTCTGTTCACTATTTCTATTTAATTGTTATTATGCCTAAGTACTGCTCTGTTGTATTTTCATCTGGAAGCAATTTGTAGCTCTTCACAAAAGAAGGTACATGTACATCAATAACTCTAATCTGTATGTTGTTCATTTTACAGGCCGCTGCATCTTGTTATATTGATCTGATCATCAAGGAAAGTGATAACAATGTCAAGCTGATCGTTCTCGATCGTCTCATCGCTCTCAAAGATACTCCCGCTCACGAGAAGGTCCTACAGGTATGTCATTATAACTTATTTTATGTATCCCATAAAGGGTGCATAATGCATAGAGTCAACAACTAAATTATTGCTACCCCATGTAAAAAAAAAAAAAACATAACTCATAACCCTTCATAACTCAAGAATAAAAGGTGGACTTTTTAATATATCACATTCTCAAGAATATGAATTGGGACAAATTAAATTTTAACATACTTCAAAAAAATTACCAAACTTGGTAAGGGTATTCATAATTTAATACTCAGATGAACCTACATCAGACTTACATTTAGAAAATATCGCATCCAAAGCATTTTAATAATTTTACTCAAAATCTTTGCAACATTTTTCATGATGTACATCATTTATGTTAACTTGGGTACTATTACTTTAGCAGTCAAAACTAAACAGTCTAGAGATTTCACCCACCTATTGTTAGTAGGCTTCTGCTTTGTCTGCAACTAATCTTGAGTGATTGTATCATTTTAAGGAATTGGTGATGGACATCCTGCGTGTGCTGTCTGCATCCGACCTGGAGGTCCGTCGTAAGACCCTGGACCTAGCCCTGGACCTCATCTCGTCTAGGAACATTGAAGAGGTGAGTTTGTTCGTTCGTTCGTTCGTGTCTCCTTCGATCAAGATAGTTTAATTATGTAAAGTTCCTTAATTAAATTAAATTAAATTAAGTTCTTCCATCGCCCGATTGCTGCAATGGCCGTAAGTGGCCGTAATGGTGAGTAAGATCACTAAAGACGTTCATCTTGTTGGGTGACGTATTCTGAAAATTAGTTCTTTCTTCACAATCAGTGGAATTTACCGGTTTTGGTAAGCTTCAACTTGCTGCACTGCAAGCTTCCTCAGACCTATGCTGTAGATGGTGCTGTTCCTGAATCAGTAAAACCATATGGTGTCCCATGTTGCCACCACCAATCACTCCATGAAGTGGCATAAGAGCATCATACTCTCACAAGACAGCACCAAGTCCATCAGATGGATAAGGGAGGACGTACATACACACACCGAACGTTACAATCCCATGAACAGAGACTTAGGACAATATCGTCACCCGGCTGGCAGAAGGGCGTTAGCGAACGAGCGACTCTAAAAGATTTTTATGCCTCCGTTACGAAGTAGCCGGAGGCATTATGTTTTCGGGTTGTCCGTCCGTCCGTACGTACGTCCGTACGTACGTACGTCCGTCCGTCCGTACGTCCCGTTCTCGTGATCGCGTTATCTGAAGAACCGATTGATGGATTCCTGCCAAACTTTATTCATGTATGTATCTTGCAGAGCCGATGAACTGATTAGATTTTGGGGTCACGAGGTCAAAGGTCAAAGGTCACAGGGCTCATTATGTATGCAAAAACAGCTCGTGATCGCGTTATCTCAAGAACCGATTGATGGATTCCTGCCAAACATTGGTCATGTATGTATCTTGCAGAGCCGATGAACTGATTAGATTTTGGGGTCACGAGGTCAAAGGTCAAAGGTCACATGGCTCATTATGTATGCAAAAACAGCTCGTGATCGCGTTATCTCAAGAACCAATTGATGGATTCCTGCCAAACTTACGTCATGTATGTTACTTGCAGAGCCGATGAACTGATTAGATTTTGGGGTCTTGGTCAAGGTCAAAGGTCATGCGGCTCATTATGTATGCAAAAAATTACTTGTGATCGCATTATCATTAGAACAGATTGATGGATTCCTGCCAAACTTAGATCATGTATGTATCTTGCAGAGCCAATGAACTGAGTAGATTCTTGGGTCATGAGGTCAAAGGTCAAATGTCATGGGCTCATTATGTATGCAAAAATAGCTTGTGAACGCATTCTCATTAGAACTGACAGATGGATTACTATTTAACTCAGGACATCTTGCAGAGCCAATGAACTGAGTACATTTTAGGGTCATGAGGTCAAAGATCAAAGGGTCATATATGTATATGAGAAATTGCTTTTTGGTTTGTAAACTTGCTCTATGACGGAGGCATCATTTTCGACTGCGCGCAGTCGAAGTTCCATCTAGTTTTTATATTTAAACTGCTTTCCGTCCCGAAAATTGGTTTAAAACTTAAAAGACTAATAGAAATGTTACAGTAGAACACGGCCACATTTTTTTCCCGGAAATAAATCAGTTTTATAAAAGTTTGAGGCGATTTAGTGCTAACGCCCTTCTGCTTAGTGCTTCATTTTTTACCTGAAATTCGAGCTAATGCCCTTCTGCCAGCCAGACGACGATATGCTCTTTCTTCAACGTACATTTTCATTCTACCATATCGTTGTATTGTTTCAGAGTTTCTCTCTTTTGAATAATTTTCCACCCTTGTCAAACTCTTGTGTAGATGGTGCTGGTGTTGAAGAAAGAAGTGAGCAAGACCCAGAGCGTCGGTGAGCATGAGGACACCGGTAAATACCGGCAGCTATTGGTGAGAACCCTCCATTCCTGCAGCGTCAAGTTCCCTGACGTAGCAGCCACGGTCATCCCATTGGTAAGATCAGTAGTTTTGTCCTTTTGGGACCATCTTTATTAGTCATCCAAGGGATTCTGTCAGATCATCCATTCCTAGGAGCTTAGAGAGTGATAGATTTGGAAAGATACAGAACTTCTGATAATTTTAACCTTCAGTAGAGTTTGTTATCTAACTCTAAATGACTCTATTTGACTAAGTTCAAGTCCCGGCAATGCATTGATCTACATTTGCCACTTTCCACCCAGGTGTTAAGGGGTCGTTTAACAATGTTAAATCTGAGAAACACAGCCCTTCGTGTTATCAGTATCTGTGATATGGTGTTAAATTGAAGCCCTAAAAAAATTGCTCTTCAAAATGATCAAGAAGTGCCTCAAAAAAGTAAAAATCTTTGAGTGATCGGTTTTACCACACTCTTTTCTTTCAATAGACTGTAGTGTTATGAAAACCATTTGGCAAAAGGTTTTCAAAATTTTAATTCAAATCATAAATATCTTGTTAATCAGACAGGTGATCGGCTTGTAAAAGTCATGGGGTTCCTGACTGACCTAAAGGTCTATAATTATCATTGCAGCATGAGCTAAATCCAGAATTTTGTTTCAGAATGTGAGACAAAGTTACCGAATCCCTTTAAATGGGTACCCGGTAGGATACGAAAGTTAATGTGGTTAGATGAGCAAGTGTGCAATTATAAAAATGCACCTGGCCAGAATTCTCTCCAGGGAGTGGAGAATGTGCATACATTGTCTGCGGGTAAGCCTGAACGAACTATTATTATTATTATAGTAGTTAAACCCTCTATATCTCATACCTGGTACAGCTGATGGAGTTCTTGAGTGACACCAATGAGCTGGCTGCGGCTGATGTTCTGGTCTTTGTACGAGAAGCTATAGAACGCTTTGAGCAGCTCAAGCCTCTAGTCATCAGTAAGCTACTTGAGGTCTTCCCAACAATCAAGGCTGTTAAGTGAGTAACCTAGTAGAAACTCCTAAGCAATTTTATAGCGCACTAGGCCTGTTTTCACCGGCTCGAGTTTGCCAAATAACCCGCCCTTTTAACTATCCCGATCGCAAATTAGCCAGTTAATTTGCCTCTTCATCAGCCCGCAGTTACAATTTGCGGGATATTTGGTTGAGAAAGTATCCCAAGAAATCTTGGTCTTTTTTCCAAAATATATTCCACTATTTTGGAAAATACGGGGTTATTTGGCAAACTCGAGCTGATGAAGACGAGCCTACTGTCACATATCCATGGCAAGCAAGTCTATATCAATTACATAGCAACTCTACATCAACTGTACAGCAACTATATAGTAGCTTCTTAATAAATATACAATGCATTTATTTATTAAACTGGCTGCAACCTACATAGCTATCTGGCAATTAATTTCCTTACGTAAGCTAGTCTGCTCCCTCTGCCTTGAGCTTTTGTCTCTTCATAGCCTTATGTATTATATGATACCAAATTCACAAACAGGTCAAATGTGTAGTAAAGCAAGTTGTAAAAATTTGCCATGCTTGGTTTGGCCAAAAATGGAATGTTCGTTGGTGTAGTTGTCATAATATTTGGTATTCATACTTCGATAATGCGTCAAGATATCAATATAGTTTGAAAATTGCTTGGGCATGTTTACTTATTGAGATGCTTCGTATTTGAGCTGATTTTCAAGAATCACATTTGCAATTTTGTTGTTGTTGTTGTTGCATGTATAGTCCCATCTGTTAACTTTTATGTTGTGATTTCTTAGGATCCATCGTGCAGCCCTGTGGATCCTGGGTGAGTACTGCACCACTATAGAGGACATCCAGAGCTTGATGACTGAGGTACGCAACCTCCTAGGTGAGATCCCAATCGTTGATGATGAAATCAAGAAGGCGGCTGGAGAAGACACCCAAGGTAATTGACGATGATGGTGGTGGTGGTGGTGGTGGTGGTGGTGGTGGTGGTGGTGGTGGCGGTGATGGTGGCGGTGATTTGCCACTCTCCACCCAGGTGTTAAAATGGGTGCCCGGTAGGATGCGAAAGCTAATGTGGTTTGATTAGCAAGTGGCGCTTGTAAAATGGCGACTGGCTGGAATGCTCCCCAGGGAGTGGAGAATGTGCATACCTTGTGTGCGGGTAAGCCTGAATCCGATGACCGGGGTAATAATATGTTCGGCGCCTAGAAACGTAGTATTAGGCGCATTATAAATGTGAGCTATTATAGTGGTGCTGGTGTGATGACGGTGGTGATGGTGGTGGTGATGGTGGTGATAGTGATGGTGGTGGTGGTTTTGGTGGTGGTGGTGGTGGTGGTGGTGGTAGTGGTGGTGATGATGATGGTGATGATGATGATGGTGGTAGTTTTGATGATGATGATGACGAAGACGACGATGGTGTTGGTGGTGGTGGTGGTGATGGTGATGAAGTATCCCCAGATATTCCTCTAAAAACGGGCAAAATTTCATTAAAGGAACAAGACATGTGGCCACTTGTTGCTGCCAATATACATTGTTTTGTTGCCTAAATCTCACTGATCAGCATGATGCAGTAATCATCTTATTCAAGCTTTTCTTAAGAGTGCAAATCATTGAGCCATGACATTTCTTTACCATGACTCAAAGCAACACGTTTTTCTTTCTTACAGAGGAGAACGTTCAGGTGTCTGCATCCAAACGTCTGGTCACAGAGATGGGAACATATGCTACACAGAGTGCCCTTAGTGTTGTTTCCACCAAGCAAGAGGAACAAAGGTGAGCCGTCAGTATACAATTTTTGTCCTAGTGTTAACAATCCACAGCACTAGATAATCCGTCGCTGTTTTCACGAAGTGACGGTAGTGAAAAAAAATTGCATTCACTTTGCGTTACGATTTTCCTCGCTACCGTCTCTTCGTGAAAATAGGGACGAATCATAGCAATAATATCTAAAAATATATTTTTGTATTGCAAATATTCGCATTACAATATACAGGGATGCCAACCATTACGGTTTCGCCGTATTTGTTCCGGTTTTATTGCTCATTCAATCAAAAGACAAATGAATAATGGAATTCGTGAAAACTGTGCCTTTTTTCCGGTGTCTCCTGCACAGACAATGTCAATCTTCCAACAAGTGTTTTGTATTTGTTGGTAGTAATTTTCTCATGCAGAGTAATTAGGGTAATTTATGCAAATAAGGTCATAAAATTCACATTTTTACCCATAAATCATATATTATTCATATGTAAACATTAGTTTTCACTACATATATTCTTTAGATCATTTGGAATAATATTACCAAAAAAAGATTGGAAGAGCGGTGTTATTCCTTATGTTATCTATTGATTTGATAATTTCTGATGGTTTTATTTTATCTCTCCCTTGCAGACCTGCTCTTCGTGGTTTCCTGATGGATGGTGATTTCTTTGTAGGGGCATGTCTGGCCACCGTTCTGACCAAGCTGGCTCTCCGCTATCTAGACCTCTCCAAGGACCAAAAGCAACAGAACGTAAGTCATGGTGACCGGGGTAATAATATATCTGTAAAGCGCTTAGGCACATGGTTGGATCGATGTATTGAGCGCTATATAAACACAGAATATTATTATTTTTATTATTATGACCTTTTAGCATTCACATATCTTGGGTGTCTTTTTCTTTTTCATTTAGAGAGCTGTTATGAATAATAGATGAAACATTATACCAGGGCTGTCTTTCACAAAGACTAAGATCCTCTTTAAGTTGGACCTAACTATGGCAGGCCGTTCATGCCACTGTTTGCTCACACCATTTACTGGCATTGGTCTCTCAAGGGACGTACAAATCATGGTCACAAATCTACAGAAATAACATTTTTTGATGATTCATTATTGAAGGAAAAAATATTATCTAAAGATCATTATGGTGAGAGCAAACAGTGGCATGAGTGGCTTGTCATAGTTAAGTCCAACTTAAAGTCGATCTTAGTCTTTGAGAAACACCCCCTTGAAATTTAAAGCAGTTTTCACTGTAACCAAGTACTTTCCAAGATTTTTTGAAACTTGAGAACTTATTTCATTGATGCTTGTGGATGTGATGAATCAATTTTTTTTTTTTGGATAAAGTAATCTGTATTTGAATAGTGCTTAATACATTGACAATGTCTCTAAGCGATTTACAGTATTACCCCAGTGATTGGATTCAGGCTTGCCCACTCAAAATGTTTGCACATTCTCCACTCCCTGGGAAGCACTCCAGCATTTTACAGACACACATAAGGCTGAGCAAACTACAAAGACTTTCGCTTCCTACAGGGTACCCATTTAACACCTGGGTGGAGAGTGGCAAAAGTGGATTAATGTCTTGCCAATTTCTTTTCTGTTTCTACATTCATGATTGCACTATGTGTTCTTATCTCGATATTCTGCATTTCTGAATGTTTCTTGCCATCTCCCCTCATCTGTAATGATAAGGACCCCCTTCCTCTCTCTCTGTCTCTCTCTCTATCTCTCTCTGTCTCTCTTTTGTCCCCTTCTCTCTCTCTCTCTCTCTCTCTCTTTATTTCTTTCTCCGTTTCTCTCTCTCTCTTTCTCATCACTCTAACTCTCCCTCTCCTATACACCTCTCCTTTTCTTTTCTTTTTTAACAAAAATTTGAATTTGATCAATGAATTTTTTTATAAAATGTCTGTCTGGCGCTACTCAGTGGCTGCCGGGCTCACGATCAATTGGGCAAAAAGAATTTCCGTTTCGGTTTAATAAAATTTGGAGTGGACTATTAGGTTATTATTATTATTATTATTATTATTATATGCTTGATTTGTTATTTATGTCATATTTTGTGTTATTTGAATCTGAATTACAATTGTATTGTATCTTTGTGAAATGGATCGCAATTCAGCCGTTGGCTGCGATAATCTTTTTAATAAACAATTTCTATCCATCTATCTGTCATTTTCAGAGATTCCTTGCTGAGTCTATGCTTATCATGGCCACTATCATTCACCTTGGAAAGTCAGGCCTCGCTAAAACGGTAAGTGAAAGTGAAATTCCAGGCCGAGGCTGTATGTTAAAAATTCAAGCAAATGAAATAAGTCATCTTTAGCATAATTTAATTTAGATTAAGTTGATTGATTGCTTTATCTGTAACATAATGTAATTTTTTATTGAATAATATTGTGTAATCGTGGTGCTGTCGTCCCGGCTTTTATTTTGTGTAAGTACATTGCTTCACTGAATAGCTGCTGGGACAACAGCAACACAGCACCTAGAAACGACGTATTAGGCACATTTTAAATACTCTCCCTCAATGGATTAAGAATAGCAGCTCTGCTGAAGTGTTAAAAAAACAATCTTAAGAAATGTCTGTTTAATTTAACTTATAATTGATTACCATAACCTTTCATGTCTGTACCTTTCCTATTGCACTTGGTATAAATGTATCATGTACGTATTTCATCTTTTGCACAAGCTGCGCCTTGAACATTTGACTGTCAAGTGGATTTGGCGCCTTATAAATCTTATGTATTATTATTATAAATGTGATCTATTATTATCATTATTATTATTACAGAATCGGTATTATTGATAATGACCTCTGACCTCTCATTTTTTTCACAGAACATCACCAACGACGACGTGGATCGCATCTCGACCTGTATCAGGGTCCTTGCAGAGCGTCATTCTCTCATCGGTGACATCTTCAATAGTGAGTGCCGTCACTCCCTCCACGCCATGCTACAGGCCAAACAGCTGGAGAGCAAAACTTCCGCTAAGGTGCAATGATTTTTGTTTTTTTGTCGCAAACTACTTGAAATATGTGTATTTGTGTTGTCTTTGGACTGTTTTTAATATTTTATATTCATGTTTGAATACATTTTCTATTGAAATTGAAAATCCATTCACATTTTTCTTGTAAATGATAGTTCTTGAATGTTCAGGTATTTCTTCTTCTTCTTCTTCTTCTTTAGGGTTAAGTCTACCTCCATCACAGTTGAAGATTCTTGTAGACTGAGGATGCCAATTAATTTGTATTATAACTGTTTATATTCTTGTGTATTTATCTGTTTTGTTTTTGCTGCTGTTATTTGTTTTATTGTTACCAAACGGGGCCTCATGGAAGACCACCAAATTGGTGATATGTGCCACCCTGTATGAATATGAGGAATAAAAGAGAAAAAAAATATTGTTTGTTGTCAATCAAATTCTGAATGTCTCTTTGTATTGGTGACAACACTTTCCAAGTTAAGGCTCCTTGACTCAGGGAACAAACTTCCAAACTATCATTTTTTGTATCCGCCTCTTTGGACTTTTTCAGGAAACTTTTAAAATTATCCTTTTCAGTCAGTGACCCAAACTGATGTCATTCTTTGATAATTGTGATGCTTTAAGGGGCTAAGACACAAAATGTGTTATAGCACTACATATGGGCAAGTCTAAAGTATTTAGTCATGTGTTGGCCAAAAGGTTACCAAATGTTTAGGAGCTGCGAACACAAAGTTGACAGAAAATGTCTCCCTTTCTCTTCATATTTGGTAATGTTAAATCTTTAGCAAGTCAGAAAAAATTATCAGATGGGCTTTAATCAGAGTTGTGGTCGGTAACTTTTGGGACTAAATAGCTTTGACTTCTGCTTACAGTTGCTTACATGAAAGTATTGTATGAGGGCTACTATATCTATTATATTAGGGTCTCTTTGCAATTTTTGTAAAATCTAACTTTGATCTTATTTTCTGTGTAGGGTCTGTTTGAGAAGAAGGTTACTAGCGTCCAGGCGGATGACCCTATCCACTTCCTCCAGCTCCTAGCCAAGGCTGACACCGGTAACACGGAGGATCAGCTGACCATGAGCTTGACCCTAGCGACCATGGGAACACCGGCTAGGAAGGAGCTTGCTGACCTATCGGCATCCAAACTCAGCAAGGTGAGCAGATGGTGGTGATGGTCCTGGTGGTGGTGGTGGTGGTGGTGGTGATGATGATGATGATGATGATGATGATGGTGATGATGGTGTTGGTGGTGGTGGTGGTGGTGGTGGTGGTAGTGATGATGATTGTAATTGTAATGATGCTGCTAATGATGTTAATGAAACTACTGATGGTGGTGATGATTATAATGCTGATGGGTGTGATGATGATGATGGTGATGATGATGAATGATGATGATGATGATGATGAATGATGATGATGATGATGATGATGATGATGATGATGATGATGATGATGATGATGATGATGATGATGATGATGATAGTGATGAGGATGATGATGATGATAGTGATGATGTTGGTGATAGTGATGATGATGATGATGATGATGATGATAATGATGATGAATGATGATGATGATGATGATGATGATGATGATGATGATGATGATGATGGTGATGATGATGATGATGATGATGGTGGTGATGATGATGGTGGTGGTGGTGGTGGTGGTGGTGATGAAGATGATAGTGGTGATTGTGAAGATGATGATGATGAGGTGAAAGAGCTTGCTGACCTATCGGCATCGAAACTCAGCAAGGTGAGCAGATGGTGGCGGTGGTGAAGATGTTCTTAACTATGGTGGTGGTGATGGTGGTGGTGTTGGTGGTGGTGGCTGCAGTTGTTATCATGGAGGTGGAAGTTACGCTGAGAAGGATTGCTCTGGCTAAAGGATATTGATGGTGATAATGAAGATAGTGATGAAGTTGATGATGATAATGGTGGTGGTGCTTTTGTGAAATTGTAATGAGAGGGACAGGATGCTATTTATAATACCGGTAGTTTAAAAGATCAAATTGGTAAATGTTTCATGAAAGTTGTGATCTTGATTATCATTATAAGAGAATTTTCAATATTGAAGGAAACAAAAGGGATGATTATGATTTTGTATGTAATTCTAACGCAGCCTTGATCTTTAACCATTACTTTTGCAGGTGACCCAATTGACAGGTTTCTCTGACCCAGTCTATGCCGAGGCTTACATCAATATCAACCAGTATGACATTGTTCTGGACGTCCTGATAGTCAACCAGACAAAAGATGTACTTCAGAACTGCTCCCTTGAATTGGCAACACTTGGTAAGTAGCCGAAAATTTCAGTATTTTCTTGTTTTTTACATTTTACTACAGGTTCTCAATCATTTATGTCTGAGAACCTCCAAGTTTGCTCCCCATTGGTCAATGCAGAGCACGTCTCGCTGGTCATTGCTATAGAGTTGAAGACAAAGCTGTGTGGGATGTGATCTGCAGGAGGCTGCCCTGCCCAAAAAAGGGGCCGACGCCCCACAAATTCAGAGATGTAATTGCCCGTATTCTTAATCATAGGTTTCTTTAAGGACATTCCTAGGGTCATGATTGAAAAGAGCAAGAGTTGTCCTAGAGTAAACTCTATCTTAATACTGAAGCCTTCACATGTTGATGACGTCTGAGAGTAGTTGTTAATGTTATACTTTTTTCTCTCTTTCTGTGTCTGGCCCTGTCTGTTTCTCTCTCTCTCACTCTCCATCTTTCTCTCTATCTCTATCTATCTTTGTCTGTCTCTCTCTTTCTCTCTCCCCTCTTTCTTTCTCCTTCTCTTTCTCTCTCCCTCCCTCTCTCTGTCCATCTCCCTTCCTTCCTCTCCCTCCCCCCTCTCTCTCTCTCTATTTCTCTCTCTCTCTCTCTCTCTTCTCTCAGGTGATTTGAAGCTAGTTGAGAAGCCTCAGCCGATGACGTTGGCTCCCCATGACTTCTGTAACATCAAGGCTAACATCAAGGTTGCCTCCACAGAGAACGGCATCATCTTTGGAAACATTGGTGAGTTATCATTTCATCCATCTATTATTTTGTTTTAACCTATACAAATTTGTTTGCTAAAAGGATTTTGGGGCAACCAGAAAGAAGATTTTTATCTAATGTACTTCAAACAAGCATAGAAATGCAAAAGAGTGTGAATATGATACATATGCAGTTTAACCTTGGTCGTAAAAAGCCCTTCTCCCCTGATATTTATTTATTTATTTAATTATTATTATTATTATTTTTTTTATTTTTTTTTGGGGGGGGGGGGTGCATGTTATGCATTCTAAATTTAAAGTACAAGTTTGTGAGAAACTGATGATTTAATACGGAAAACCTGGTTTACTCACTTGAAAGGAAGTGCTGAATAAAAGTTTATAGTAAAGTTAAATGTTGGTCACATTGTTTAGAGCTACTTTGCATGGAATTGTAATAATAATAATTATATTTGCTTATATAGCGCCTAACACTTACTTTATCAGAAGACTTTCTACGTTTGGTTTCCAAGGATTCATAAAACATTGCTATAATTATAATCCTGGACCCCGTCTTATAAAAACAGTTGCGATAAATCGTATCTTATTTGTGATTGATATCAACCGTAACTATGTACATAAGAGATAAGAGAAGGCAAACTTGGGATTGATGAGAGGAGTTTTTATTTATTTGGATCAATCTCAGCTCTATATATGGGCCTGATAATTACCCAATTTTTTCCTGATTTTTTCCTGATTTTTTCCTGATTTTTGTTTTTCTGATTTTTCCCCAATTTTCTTACTAAAAAAGGCTGGAATGTTGGATTTTTTTCTTCTTTTCCTGAATACTTTTTTTTTAGGGGGGGGGGGGGGGGGGAGTCAAGGAAGAAAAAAAACTTTGTTTTATTAGTGCTCACTATCACCCCTGTATATAAGACAGGACGCAACACTTGCATTTCTACATTTACTTTTTGATAACATTTGTCCATTTTAAGTCATTTCTCGTGTCTTCTTTTGCAGTGTATGATGTTTCTGGCTCTCAGAGCGACCGCAGCGTCGTGGTCCTGAATGACATTCACATTGATATCATGGATTACATCGTTCCCGCTTCCTGTACCGATGCTGAGTTTAGAACCATGTGGGCCGAGTTTGAATGGGAGAACAAGGTACTAGAAATGAGATCTTCACACTGTTTTACAATGAATAACAGTCAAATCACACATTTTTTTTTTTATGCTTTATAAAGTCTGTTTGTCTAACAAAGTGAATTTACACTCGGCTCCTTCAAGATAAAACGGTCGAACCTGCTTTAGTGACAAACTGTATAGCAACACCACCTGTCTACATAGACCACATATTTGTCGCCCTTGACAATTACTTCCTAATGAAACCTCTACAAAAGACCACCTGCTTATAAAGGCCACTTTTCTTGCCTCCCTTGAGGGGTCTTTACATACATGTTTCAGTGTACTGGATACAGCTGATATAATTTCATTGTTGAAAAGCGTGTTTATTCTCCTTTACAATTATGCCCCGTTCGTAATGATAATGTAAACACCTGATTATGGGGTGAAGTCAAAAGTGAAATATTGCAAAATGCAAGGTTATTGTCAATAGTAAATGAAGTCCATTCTCCAAACAAATGAATAATTCACTGTTTGCAATTCTGTCAAATAACATTGCAGTTCCTTCCTAATTATTTGGTTTGTTCATCCAAATTACAGGTGACAGTGAACACCAACATCAATGACCTTCGTGAGTATTTGAAGCATCTGATTTCATCGACCAACATGAGATGTCTGACACCCGAGAAGGTAAGATATCATTTAATGATTTATTTGTAAGCCTGTTATCAGACTTGGTGAATTGTTACATAAGGGAGAGGGTTGTCAGTTTCCATGTGCAAAATGCCATAATTCGCTGACACCAGACTTGGTGGAAATACCATTAATGGGTGTGCACGACTGCACACGGCAAAACCCATAGGCCTATCAATAAATAGCCCCTCCGTTTTCTGGTGAGTGTTTGTTTGTTTTACCTGACTGCTATGTGTATACTTGTAAGTACGTAACCAGGGGACCTAAGTATGGCTTTAGATCCTCTCAAACGGACTTGGTAATGAGGATTAATGCCTTACCCAAGGGCACAAGCCATTGACTTTGTTTCTAAACCCGGGACCTTCCTGTTAGGAGTCCATTGCTCTACCACTGAGCCCTTGCACGTCCTGCCTCCTGCCTCTTCTCGACTCCTATCTGAAAGTTTTCCTAACAAAGAATGTATATACATGTACATGCCTGGAATGCTCCCCAGGGAGTGGAGATTGTGCACACAGTGTGTGCTGGCAAGTATTGAATCCAATGACCGGGGTAACAGTATATCTGTAAAGGGCTTAGAGACATTTGTATTAAGCACTATATAAAAGCGGAATGTTATTATTGCTATGGTTCTTAATCCTTTGCAGGGTCTCTCTGGTGAGTGTGGATTCATGGCTGCCAATCTCTACGCCCGTTCCATCTTCGGTGAGGACGCACTCGCTAACGTGAGCATTGAGAAGCCGTCTTCCACCGAACCCAACGCTTCGGTCACAGGGCACGTCAGGATCCGAGCCAAGAGTCAGGTGAGTTTGTAACTAAGCTAAGTGCACATATTGCTTTTATTTTTAGTTGATTTGATTCGAATTCTCATATATCATGTAGCCAATGAGTGATTTCAAGTTGGGTGTTAGTGTTTAGAACAGTCAGAGGCTCTTAAATCGAGCTAAAAATTTGCTGATGAAATTAAGAGCCCGATACCAATATCAATATCGAAAGCTTAACACCACTGCACCGTGGCATCGTCACCAACCACAAACGTCGGTCCAGCAGACGACAATTTTGCAAAATCAATAACACTAGCTACCGGATGTTGACGACATTCAGAGGTCAAAGCCTTAACTCCAGCTGATTTCCATTTCGGTGTTTAAGCTAGTGTTAGTGTTTTTTAAACACTTACACCAGCCCTAAACACCCAACTTGAAATCACTCAATGTTAACATATATCAAGGACAACTTGTGGCTTTAAATAGTTACTCCAGCTTTTTTTTGTATTGCCTTTGAGTTGGTGAATGGGAGATTCTTCCAACCACCACAGTCATGGGTAAATTTTTTTTTTTTTTTTAAATTTTTTTTATTGTGCTGCCTTGAGTAATTGTGTGTTGTGTGAGGTGAAGAGAGGGATAATAAGTCAAACATGTAGAACTTTCTCCATACTTTCTACCTGCTCTGTTTCAAACCTTCCTTCCTTTTCTTTCCATTTTACTGTCTTTTTGCACTCTCTCTCTCCTCGCCATATAGCATTCGCGTTAGAGTACCGGTAGTCCTTTTAGATTGCAAAGTTGTTGTATATGCATTATGCAGGGTGTATCCTACAAAAATGAAGTTCTGATGATAAATTCATTAATTGTTATCACACATGGATCTGGCGCTGCTCAGTGGCTGCCGGGCTCACGATCAATTGGGCAAAAAGAATTTCCGTTTCGGTTTAATACAATTTGGAGTGGACTATTAGGCTATTATTATTATTATTATTATTAAATCATACCTTTTTTTTATTGTACGTATAATATTTTGAGCAAATTTCATCAGGGGTAAAAATATATATATAGGATTATCTAATTCAAACGAGATTTGTCGGGCTTGTCTTTCTATCCTTAATTGGATCATTCCATTTTTTCTTTGTTTTTATTTTCAGGGAATGGCTCTGAGCATGGGTGACAAGATCAACCTCTCACAGAAGAAGGACAAGAACGTGAAGTAGAGTAGGTGGGACTACAACGAGAATCAATGATATACTTAGAAATTCTACTACTGTGCTTCAACTCCGTAGTCCATATTTTACTATAATCTAAACCCAACATGGTACAGCGAAACCTGTCTATAAAAAACACCAAGAGAGACAAGAAAAGCGATCTGTATAGGCAGGTGGTCTTCGTGTACAGATTCCTTTAGTACAGGTTTCAATGAGAAACCATTTTCAAGGGATACAAAAAATGTGGTCTGTGTAGACAGGTGATCACTAGAGCAGGGTTGACTGTACTGTGCTTCTACTCAGTAATCCATATTTTATTCAAATCTAAACCTAACGTACTAGCTAAGTTGAGGTGGAATTTAGCAAAGGAAAGTAGACGAGGACTGCACTTTTTCATTGGTTTACATGACTGTGATGTCACAATGTGTTTATCTGAATTATTGGAATATGAGACTTTATGTTTAAACTAATGTATGTTATAAAACACAGTATTAATTATGCTATTCAGTTAAAAAATGTTTTATAATAATGTTAATAATAGTAATATACAAAAGTAATATTAGGGCGAGTCAAAGGTATTGGGTATGTTGTGTCATGCATTATCATGAAAAAGGAAAAGTACATGGAGAAGAAAAAAAGCAAGTGTCATTTCCTTGTTATTTTTTCCGAAGTTCATAAGATCTACTAAAAATAATAATGTTTGTAATGTATGCGACAAATAAAGTGGGTCTGCACAATATGACGTTGAACTCAAAGAGGGCAAATTGCTTGATTTAGAGGTCATCCTTATCCTTAAGATAACCTTGACCTCATTGTATTTCCTTATAGCTGTCAGCTTTACTTCTATTGGTCTTGACCTTTCAGAACCCACGCAATGTTATTATCAGAGCAAGAGATTAATTTGTAGTTCAAAGGTCAAAATGGTTGATTTAGAGGTCATCCTTATCCTTAAGATAAACTTGACCTCATTGTATTTCCTTATAGCTGTCAGCTTGACCTTTTGGATCCCACACAATGTTATTATCATAGCAAGAGATTAATTTGTAGTTCAAAGGGCAAACTGCTTTATTTAGAGGTCATCCCTATCTCAAACATAAACTTGACCTCATTGTACATTTCCTTATAGCTTTACTTCTATTGATCTTGACCTTAAGAACTGATCTTTAGAACCCACACAATGTTATTATCAGAGCCAGAGGAAGTTTGATCACTGATAAATCAGAGCGAAAAGGAAGTAAATAACATTTGTGATCAGACGTTGAAGGGTAGACCATCACCTAGGACTTCCTTTCGGCCATTGACTCATTTCAACCAAGTCGTGTGAGAAGGCACTTTAAGTTTGTAAACATGTGTCACAAATACAACCCAAATGTAAACTGCATGGTGTATGTAGAGTACAGTAGTTATAAATACATTATCATCAAGTCTTTTTATTCTTTTCTCAGATATTTCATACTTGTATAATTATGGTTTTGGTAATTATGGTATATGTGACAGCTCTATAATCATCACATTTGTGCATCGTCAGTTCAAGAGTTTTGATATTTATTCACATGTCCTTGTACAAGTTTGTCACACAGCCGCCAAACGTTCCCATTTTGGAGGAATGGTTTTAACTTTTTGCCTTTAAAGTATTGTTTTGAACCCCAGATCCTTCTCTTTTTATGAAAACTTCTGCAATAATAATAATAATAATAATAATAATAACAACAACAAGTAGCACTTAGCATGTTGTACATGGTACAACTATATCACAGCGTTTATTGAATTAGATTTAGAATAAGTAAAATTTAAGGGAATTAAATGAAAAGGTGGTTTAACTTAACTGGGAAGAGCAACATGTATGTTTTTAAGAATTTCTTGAATTGGTCTGTGGAATTAGCTATTTTGATGAAAGATGTGATAAGTATTATACAAAAAATGTGAGAAATTCCTAAATCTCTGCTGTGAAAGGTTGACATTAATGTACATTTATGTAAGTCCATTCCAGCTGTTCTACACAACTTGATGAATATGTGTATCCAGCGCTCAAAATACACGGGGGCGGTGGGCGATTCGCCCCCGTGAGCTACATAATCGCCCCCGTCAGGTTGCTCACGGGGGCGATTGCAAAATTAAAAATCGCCCCCGTGGAGTTATAAAATAAAGATTATCTTTTCTGTTATAACTTTAACATAATATTGAGTTTCAATTTTTAAACCTTAAACCAATGAAATTGAACTTAGATTAGCGTGCAAGATTTCTCGTTTTTATGAGTATAGACCTATTCAGCTCGCAGTGCCGCCGTCAGCAGTGGTTATAGGCCTACTGCGCCGTTAGTAGCGGTATGTGTGCACGCTGCCGCGCCATGTCTGCTCGAGCTGGAGGCGATCGCGAATTACGAAAGGGCAGAAACATGGTCATGAAGAAGTTTTTCGTTGTGAAAGCGTTAACCCGCTGAAATCTGGTGATTTCAAATGACCAGCAAATAATGAACCTCGACCAGTAAATCAATATTAGGGACTTTTAGATTTGCACGATGAGAACGTGGACTGCTACGTGTGACCTCCTTTTAAGGCAGTGCCAGTGCTTAAAAGGACGTCACAGTCATGTGACTGCCAGTGCACGTCCACGCAAATCTAAAAGTCCCTATTGAGAAGAAGAGGAAGACCAAGATGTCGTGGAATAATATGGTAACATGGGCAGATCTACGGGGGGAGGATTAGGGGGTTTAACCCCCTCCTCCCAGCCCCCCGGCGCCCCCTTGGGCTGCCAAGTGAAAATGTGATATTAAAGCGGGGGGGGGGGGGGGGGGGGGGGGATGCTGGAGAGGAGGACTACTCTATTTTATTTTTTCAGGGGGGGGGGGGGAAGTGAAGCGCCGTTTTAGCATGACTTTCTTTTTAACTCTTACTTTCACCTATCTCAGATAACCCTAAGTTTCTGGTTGCTGCTTTATTATGTAGTTGATAATGCATGATTAAAATAAAGAGAGAGAGAGAGAGAGAGAACCACCATCATTTTGCAATGGTTCATGCAGGGTTCGTGTAATATGAATTTGAAACCATTTCTTAGCGTCTCAATCCTAAAAAACATAGCAAAACTATTTTTGAGGAAAAGCATTATACTGAATTAAATGAAGAATAATAGCTTTATATTGGATCATACTAATACTGATACGGGCTAAAGACAATGTAGTATTTGTATAGAGGTATTCCAAAAAGACATTCTGATAATCAACATTTGTTCTGGTATCATAAATGTATATACGCATAATACCACTGATCTTTATGATTTCTTAACGTGACATAGCTTCTTCTCCCCCTGCAAACAAAAAAGAAAACAAGGTTATTTAATAAAAGGATCATGCAAAAAAAAAAAAATCATTGTGATTCAAATTGATGCAAGGATTTTTTTTTGAATAAGCAATGCTTTTCACCAGAATCTTCTTTGTTTAAAACGACTTTTACAAATCTCAGCCATGCAAATCTGCCACTGTGTTGTAAGATCACTTTCAGATTAGGAGAAGTGTATTCTTTAATGAGTATTTACATTGAATGGAACGTCTCAACTCAGTATAAAGCATGGCTGAGATTTGTAAAAGTTGTTTTTACAAAGAAGATTCGGGTGAATAGCAGTGCTTATTCAAATAAATATTCGCATCAATTTGAATCACAATCATTATTTGTCGCTTAATCCCTTTTAATGACCTTGTTTTCTTTCTCGTTTGCAAGGGGAGAAGATATGTCACGTTAAAGACATCATAAAGATCAGTGTTGTATGCGTATATTATACACAGGCCAGTAACAGCTATGTAGCTTGTAAATTTGTAAGAGGGAAAATGCTGATTGAAATGATAATGATGAAATAGCAAATAATTGAGGAGTATCATAGGTACCAATTCAATTGATATTAGTATAAAAAAAGAGAGCCCCCGTCAGTACTAAAAGAGCCCCCGTGAGAAGGCTCACGGGGGCTCTTTTTTGGGGGGAAGAGCCCCCGTGGACAAAAAATTAATTTGAGCCCTGTGTGTATCTGTATTTGAATTCTTCAGTGTACTATGAAACAGGAGAGTTGTTAATGGGTGGTTTATAAACCTTAATAATTTCACTTTCTTTACAATTTAATTTGATTGATTGTGATACCAACGCTTTTGATTGTATGAAGTTTGCAATGTACATCAACCAATCAGAATTCATCTCTCATCAAAAGCTGTAATAGCAAGAAGCATGCTTGCGATTGGCTAATATAATGACAGTATCCCAATCCTGTATAGTGCATATCCCATTACGATATAATGCCTCTATGCACGTCCAATCGACTTTGGATATCATTACCCCGATTCCAATTAAAATAGGAAGAGAAGTCGTTCCATAATGTCCCTTGCTCACTTCACAATAGTTCTTATCCACTTACAGACGTTGATTAATAGGCAGCAAGAAATCAATTAATATAACATTTAGAATCGACAAAAGCCATTAAATGGACATGTTGGTTTTGAAAGTTGGGGAATTATTTAATGGGCACATTACCATCTATTACTCATTGCTGTGTTTTACTGTCTTTGGTAAGTAGGTGGTTGTTATTCTATTGTTCAACGCGGTTTGTAAGGATACAAATTAATTAGTAGCATTTATGAAAAGGTGAATGTAAAGTCTAATGAATAATATATCAAGTAGTAATCAGTTTGTGTTTGTGAACCGACAATAAAGAAAAAGAAGCATAGCAAAATATGTGTAGCATTTTGACCCATATATGTATACACACAGTCCATGTTTGAAGGAATATCAATAGTGTAGTTTTATAAGCAAAGGTTCGAGGGAGAGAGAGAGAGAGAGAGAGAGAGAGAGAGAGATAGAAAGAGGAAAAGGAAGGGATAGAGAGGGAGAGGGGCAAGAGAAAATACAAGTAAAGGGAAGAAATAAGCAGAGAAAGGACAGAAGCATTACAAAATATATGTTGTACATTTCAATGTGTAGCATTTTGACCCTTATATATACCAGTACACACAGTCCACTTTGAAGGAATAGCAGTTTTAAAGATATTAGAGAGAGAGAGAGAGAGAGAGAGAGAGAGAGAGAGAGAGAGAGAGAGAGAGAGAGGAGGAGGGAGGGAGGGAGAGAGAGAGGGGGGGGGGGAAGGAGAGAACTAAAGGGGAGAAATATGGAGGAGAGAAAAAGAGCATATTATTCTGACAACCAATGAGGCCGAGTGAGGGGGAAAGAAAGAAGGGGAGAGAGGGAACGGGAGACAGTAGAGATTTGAGAGAGGGAGAGAGAAAGAAAGAAAGAGCGAGACAGGAGAGAGAGGAGGAGAGAACTAAAGGGGAGAAATACAGAGGAGAGAAAAGAGTAGAGTAATAACGGGATTGAAGAGTAGATAATAAAGGGAGAAAAGAAGAGGTGTTATAGGTAATGGAGGGGAGGGGAGAGGGAGAATGGGAAGAAGAAAAGAGAAGAAGAGAAAGGGGGAATTGGTGATAGAAGTTTGAAGAGAAGAGAAGAGTTCAAAAGTGGGATGAGGATAATCCAACACAAAACAAATTCAAAGCACATTATTATAATAAACAATCTTTATTATTCATCCAATAGTCTAGTTCGTGAGCTGATGTCACAACTTCATGAAATCAAAATTAGTTCAAACTTCCTATTGAAACTACCCAGAAGATAAAAAGATTATGTTTGGCTCAACTAAAATGAAAGGTAACAACATAAAAAAAGGACATAAATTATATATTTATTTGAGTTACAATGATGTGATAATGATAATATATTACAAACTGAAATCGCATTCGTAAATGTTCTAGTTCCTACTGCTAAAGAGTTAAACCTTGGGCAATATTCTGACAAATAAAGAGGTGTGTAAATTGTGAATGGTTATTGGTAATGTCTGCATGTAAACAAATATTTGAAAAGAATAAACATCTAGCTGACCAAGCACTGCCTGCAGTAATGAAAAGTAATCCTTTTGCCAGAATCTCTTAGAGTTAACCCTGCATAATTGCACAAGTCAAATTTCCCCCCAAGTCAAATGAATTTTATCGACCAAGCTATGCAAAACAAATGCTATATGTACTTTCACTTCCTAAGTTAAATTTTGCTCATACACTAAGTCACGCTCTTTTTGTGTTCCTAACAGATCCAACTCATACAGAATTAACTTTATTTTAAGATAATGGAAAGACATTTTATTAGCTGATGGACATACAAGAACAGAATATTTCAAAGATTTGAATAAATGAGCTTTACTCCCTAACACTGGCACAAAAAATATTCCTTCATTCTTAAGACTTGTTCAGATATAACACAGTAAACCGCCGCAAGAAGCACTCGCAATTTTTTAACGTCTATGTATTCTATGTATACAGACCCAGTATACCTTACAGTCTACTGATATTTTAATCCTTTCATGTCTTTAATATAATAATTAAAATCTAGGAAGAACAAGATTTTTCAAAGCAAAAAGAGAACTACGCTAGCAGCCCCAATGACCTTTACCAGTTCACTGATGCATTCATAATTGCTTGGGTTCGAAACAATTATTTGTTTGATGAATTGTAGGTTTTTAAAGTGGATTGTCTGACATAACAACAACTAATTTGTTTGAGGTGAATTTCATCCAAAGAGACAATATTGTACTTAGTCCCATATAAAAAATTGAACAATTCATCACCAAGACTTTATACAAGCATTCTACTGACATTAGAACCCGATGGT